CAGCTACGCCACAGCGACTCCCAATGCAGGTAATAATTGTCATAAATGGAATTACTTTACAAGTCTGTATTGAAGTTCACCTTTCTGATTTGATTTATTCTACAGAAAAATGGCAACAGCATAACATGTCCTAGGATTGAAACTCTGACCGGAACGGAAATTCTGGTGCCGGCTGGATCTACAAAAAGCATTGAGGTCAAGGGTATATCTTTGCAAGATTTTCAGCATGACAACCTGCGATGCCAGTTCAAGGACAAGGATGTTCCAGCCACACTGAGACCCGAGAATGAGAATGAATATATTATTGTCTGTGAAGAGAAACTGGTTAGTACTTTGGAGAGTCCAATCAGCAAGACACGTAATGTTTAGAACTGGTACTCTGGCTGTAAAGACTTGATCTACTCAATAAATAATTCTAATTATATTTTATCTTGACTATAAAAGCATGATATACTCAGTGAATAACAGTATTTGTCTTTTATCTCAACTGTATTTTTTTTTTTTACGATTTAGTCAGCAACAAAATTTATTTTTAACTTTTATCTCAACTCCTACCTCTTTGGGACTAGCTGTTTATTACCTTATTTTAATCCATAAGTAAAGTGACTGAACATGTTTGTAAACTGTAAAACTTAATTTACTGCAAAAGTAATGCATCCTAACTTTAAAACCTAATTTACTTTAGAAATAATGTAGCCTGCATGTAAAATGTAATTTACTGTAAAATTTGATTTACTGCAAAATGTAACCTGACTGTAATACTGGATTTACTGTTTTTAGGTTTTAGGTTTAAACAACGGATCAACATGATGGCATTAGGGTAGAACCCATAAGTGCTCCGTTCTACTTCTGACTCAACCATGAGTCTGAAGAATCTTAGCGCTGTGCACAAACTCCGTAGCACCAGTAAGGATCCTGAAGTACTTTGGGTAGATTTTTAACTCCAAATTTTGCCCAGGCAGCACCGTTAGACTATTCTTTTTATTTCCAACTAACAAGGGATTTTTTTATGTGCTCAACAATAAACATGGGCGTTTGATCTTACTACCCAGAGACCGAGAGAAATTACTAGAAGTCCACGCGAAAAAATCCCAGCCTTCACCAGGGCTTGAACCTAGAACCTCCAGCACTTGAGGTAGATGCCATGTCTCAAGACCACTCCTTCGATTTACTGTAGAAGTAATCTAACTGATCCCTTATCTGTAAAGCTTATTTTACTGCAGCAGTAATGTATTTTAGACTTGAACTTAACTGGAAACTTGATCGACTCTATTAATAATTGAAGTTAGCTTGTATCCGAACTGTACATACTTGATTGGCTCTCAAAGTAATGTTACTCTTGTTTCATCTGAAACAGTTCAACTACTTTCCGAAAGCATTCTCCCAGACAGAGCCTCTGAAGATTGTATGGGGTGGAGGAGAAAGTGTTCTTGATAACCCCAGCGGAATCACAGGTGTGCATTTGTTGTTGTTTATTTTTATTGAAGTAGAATTAACGCTTTCACTCTGTAAAAAAAAAAAAAAAAATTACTTTTTGCCAGATGCCATGGAAAAGGAAAAACATTATATAATTCTATTCTCTGTGTGGACATAAGGATTAAGGCATTGAAGCGGTTGCAGTTATTGAAGCGACTTGCAGGTACAGTTTGGGGATCAGACAAGGAAACTCCGAGGGGCTTGTATCTCGGATATGTACCGCTCTGTAATAGTGTATAACAACTCGCTGCTTGCAACCTGCTCCAAGACAAACCTAGAGTCTCTTGACAGATACTCAATGGACACCTAAACAGAATACAGCCACAACACTCCCCAGAGTGCCAGCTATGTAACTACCCCTTCGAAAATGTTGACCATCATCTCTTTGAGTGCCCAAAACTCAACGAGACTAGAAGAATGCTACTCCCTCCGAGCCCAGACAGGTGGAACACCTTGTACGGAGGAAAAGAACAGCTTGTGAAAACATGTAAATTTCACTACATGGCATTGGGCCAAAGGGCGAAAGCTCATACGCCTCTGGATCAATAACAACAACAACAACAACAACTGTGTGGATTCTGGGGCCCTGTTTTTGGGTTAGAAACACACCCCTACTGCTTCCTAACAAGCGTGTTGTAATGGTTTACTAATTGCAGGTGTTTCCTTTTAGAGTTGGAGTGTATCGGCCTTAGAAGTGAGAAACCAACAGTCTGATCACAAATAAACTAAATCTGTAAAACAGACTTGAACACAGCTCAAGTTCTGGAACAAAGCTAAGGTCCAGAAGTGGACAAATAACCCGAAATTTTCCCCGGAGTTTATAACCAGTGAACTAGAGAAAGAAAATAATTTTTTGAATCACTACCATTAGACACTAGAGGAAGAGGAGAAGAAGAAGTAGAAGCAATTTGAGGTCTTGGTCAGTTTTTGTGATAGCCTGCTAGCTGTTGTGTCATCACAGTTCCCCGCTGCTAGCTATTGTGTTGTCGCAATCCCCCAAGTCACTGTTATTTTTAAAAAAAATTTAATATTTAGTCATTATTTTGAGCATTTTTTTATGTGTGCGTGCGTGCTTATATATATAAAAGATAGTAATCTTTCAATACAATAGGAGCAAAGAAATGTCTGCTTTTCCTCCCTTTGACCAAGAAAAGAGATGTTATGTTACACAGCCACAGAGAGCAAAGTGACACTGTCATAAGTTTATTATGATGTCACAGTGACCACCACCACGTACCCCCCCCCCCCCCTCCCCCCCCCAACCACATCCTGCCCAAATTAAAAAACAATTTTTCACCCCAAATAGCAACCCAGTTTTTAAAAGAATGTGTGTGTGTGTGTGTAAATATAATCATACCCACCACACCTTCAAGTTTTGCAGTTGCAACCATGACCAAAGCTGTTACATAGATATATTGACCTCTGTCTCAAGATATCACGTCATCAAAAACCTAGAAATTCATCTGGTGACCTGTGACTAAAAGACTTCATGAAATAAGAATGCAGAATAACATACACAAAAACCTGTAAATGTCAGAAAACTGGCTTTCCCAGGGTGACAGGGTGTAATTATGGTTTGACTTGCAGTACAGCATAGTGGCTAGCTTACTAACCTGCGGGTCCAGTCTTCATAGTTTTGATTTCTGTTTTACTGATGCTGAACTTTTTTCATTGATCTGGGCTTCCCGTTTGCCTCAGACTAAAATGAGCACCTGGAAAATACTGTGGAAGTATAAGTGCTGGCATGATATTTTATAGATCACTATTGTGTTCTGACAGTCTAAAAAATGGGGTTGGCACCATATGCCTATTGCTTCTCAAGGTGTGAATTGGGCTTCCTTTAAAATTATGATATATTGTATATATCCCTGTATATACTGTCCGGGATATGCAGCAGCGCGAGGGGAAATGAAAGAGTGGATTCTCTGGCTAAAAGTTGAGTTCAGACAAGAACTTACATCACAGAGCTTGGGGCATTTCCATATACGCTCCATCCCCATCCTCAGCAGCCAGCGCAGAGTTAGAGTACTAATGGTGCCAGTCGTACTCTGGTTGTATGTCTGTCTTGCCTTTCTTCTGAGCGTAGCGTGCCGGCCAAACCCTCAGGTCACACCCAGGTGCATCATTCTCTGCAGCCCATAATTATCTAGTTTCTCTTCTGACTTCGTTACTTGTTCCCAAAGAACTCTGACCACATCTGCCTTGTCATGTATCGCTGGCTACAATAGCAATAGCTACAAGAACACTAGTACTGGACGGTGATTTGCTTTCCCACATTTTTTTTTTTCAAGTTCAAAATCTGAAGTTGTATATAAAATGTAATTAAAATATTTACTTCCTAATTTTGAGGTAACAAAAACAGGGTTCATCTTGTACATCGGATGTTTCTTATACACAGAAGAAAAAAGGGTAATCATGTCCTGAGATGAAATGTGCCCAATGATGTAATCCATGATGTTGAAAAGATTGTACAGTATTATTGCACAGTATGTAACTAAATGGAGTAATGGGCAGCAGGTTCTGTGTGAGATATAAATGCTGCACAAGATGATGATAATAATGGTGCGATAAACTTACCCTTAGAAAATATCTGTTTTAACGTCAAGTCTGTCCAAAGATTTAAAGTTAGAACAGACATTATCATATGTTTTAAATAACATTACTGTCAGAGGCCAGTTCGGCTACGGGATGAACGCAGTTGATGATAGTGAATCATCACGTATGAATGAGTTGACCTTCAGTAAAGCTCAGTGTGGGACCAGGCAACTTGACCACGGAATAAACTGGGTTGAGTTTAACTGGCTAAACCCTTCACACGGTTGACACAGACTACCGCGTGTCGAGGCATGAATGCAGAGGGGAACAAAAGAGCTGTGACAGAATGGACTGGGAGAGTTGTGTAGTGACCCTGGACTGGACCAGATGTAGCGTTTCGACTAGGTAAAAGTACAGTAGTTTAGTGACGGCTAGAATAAATAGGATTTTGTGTTTAGTATCTTTGTTAGGCTGTGTTTCCATTTAATGTTTCAACGAGATAGTGTAGAGTTAATGTTCCTTGTATAGTGGACATTCCATGCAGTATTTGTTTGAGCAGTTAATGAGGGTGTGACACGCATTGTTAATGGCAGTCACACTGCCCAGTCACGCTTAGGCCATTCACCTTACGTGTGCCGCTGAGTCCCGCGTGGCAATAGACGGCGGCTTAGTTCGCACTGATAAACTGTTAGTTAGGAATCATGTTCTTGTAGATCCATGGGAATGACTTGGGTTGACCAGTGAATGTAAAAGCTGCTCAACGCCAACCATTTCGGATAATAACTGCCTACTTAGTTGAAGTGTCTCTAGCTGTAATGTTCATTGTACATTAAAGATTATGTTAGTACTCAGCAGGTGTGTGTCTTAAGTGTGTCCAGGGTAGTGAAGTCTGTTAGCTGGCCTACATAACGAGCCATACAAAATGATTATAGTAAATTAGGTCGCTAACAATTACCAACTCTTGTCTGAGACAACATATGCTCCAAGCCATGTCAACAGAACTGTTAACTTTTGTTACAGTTGTCATATACAAATGCAGCAGTATGGCTAGCACCTGTGGGGATTGCTTTACCATTGACCCCAAGTACCAGTGTGGCTGGTGCAACGATGACTTCTGCACCACGGATACCTTCTGTCAGCAGGGGGATTTCCTTAGGAAGGGATCAGTGTGTCCCAACCCACAGATTAGCAGTGTAAGTGTGCTTCTTGTTGTTCTTTCTCATTTTGCATCTGATACAGTTGTAGCAATTTAAACAACATCATGTTCAACCTATCCGGCTTATAATTGGAATGTATACCACTTTTTTTTTTAAAATATATATCAATAATGAGTTACTTATACCAGTCTGTTATATTGTATGATTGTGTGAGTTGTTAGTTATTGTTATTGTTTCAATATTTTGTCAATATCTGCTTATGCCGCCGCTAGACGTTGCAGTTCATCAGAGGATCGGCAGCTGAGCCAGGGTGCGCTCAGTGGTTTGATATGCTGTGATATTATGCAGTCTCAAGTTGCCAGTAACGCCTTCAGTCTATGTTCTTCTCGGTCTTTCCCTGCCTCATGATGTTTCAATTTTCAGGTTGTATACTTTTGCTGCGGCATTGTTGGTTTCATTCTCATTAGATGGCCAAACTATTTCATTCTTTGTTTCTCAATAAATTTGACGATGGGTGATGTTCCAGCAGTTCTTGTGATGACATCATTTCTCACTCGATCTGTTCTGGATTTATTCACAGCCATTCTCAAACATCTCATCTCACAGGTGGTTAGTTTTCTTTCGTGTTCTTTTGTCAATGTCTAAGTCTCACACTGGTAACCTAAAGTCGCTATAAATATTGTATTTATAATTTGTCTTTTTGTCTCTATTGGGATGGCAGAGTGTTTTAAAATATGAGCAATTTGGTATGTGACATTGTTGGTTTGTTGGATTTTCATTTCTATTTCTGTCTATTTTACCAATGTGGGTAAAGATGCTTCCCACGTGTTTAAATTCTTACACTTGTTTCCAACTTTGATCTTTAAGTCGATTGCTTGTCTCTACTTATTCTCGTAACTTCTTTTTTTTTTTTTTGGTCAATATTGATCTTCTTCCATTCTGAATAGATGACAAAACTTTTTGATTATTTTATATTTTTTACAATCATTCACCGACTGTTATTCTTAGTTCTTCATTGGTGACTCTATCTCTTCATGTTTTTCCCCTGTATTTCTTAGACATCTCATCTCACGTATGGTAACTTTGGCTTTTTGTTTTCTGTCCATGTCTGGCACTGACAGCACAAAGTTGGTACCAGTTATGCATTTATCAGCTGTTTTTTTTTTTTTAATATTTTTTTTTGGTGCATGTTGATATCTTGCTGCCCTTTGAAACCATGTTGCATGGAGGGGTAAAATCAGAAAGGAAGGGAAAATAATAGAAACAAGTTGATTGCAGAAAGGTTGGAAGCTGAGCATCTGAGGAAGAACAATAAATACATGTAAGGGTTACAGCTGTCCTGGAGTCTTATGCTCTGCTTGCGGTAGACCTTTTAATGTGGGCATATCTTGCTAGTCACACTTGCCTTCACCATGGGCTATGATTCCATAGCACAGTATCTTAGTAATCTCGGTAAAATCTTAATCTCGGTAATCTTAGTTTCAGCTTCATAGCAAATAGGTCACCCCATAGTTGCTCCGCTTCTGTGCCAATGAAAAACACACAGAATTTTCATCACAGTCCCTTGTGGAAAGATTGACAGACTGCTGTCTCAGCATATGCACTAGGATACACACGCATTAAAAGCATTCAGTAGCCATCAGAAGGGCTAACAAAAACAGTCTGACATTAGAAATGCAGTTTATCATTGATGGTAGCAGAAATTACCAACAGATCAGCAGTTGCACATGCGATCAGTTTTAATCACAAAAGTGCACCACAAATATTGCAATGACAGGCCCACGCCATTTTCTGAATCTACAATTCACAAAACAACGTTGGTCACAGTCGAAAAACATTCCAAATGAAATCCACAGCTTACAGTGTCGCGCCATGCACTTAACTCAATCGCTGGGCAGCAAAACAATATCCTTTTAGTCTAAAAATGAAGCAAAAATGTAAAGGCCATTGTCTGGCAAAAGCAAAAAAATATGCCATGACTCAAAACAGTGACCGTACCCATCGTCCATTTTGACTGGCTCAGTATATAACACTTTGTCTGGAAAGGCAGAAAGTACCCAGCAAAACAAAATAATTATATTCATTGTTCTCATAGCTTATTAACTGTGGCTGGAGTATCACCACATATAAGATATTGGGGCCTCACCACAGATTGTTCCTAAACAGGCCAGTGGGTGCATGCATCCTCTGCAGCCCATCCCTGTTTTGGAGACATCACCATATTTAAATATAATTTCTGTCAAAAATTTCTGTTGTCCAGTTCTCACCAAAGTCGGGGCCCACAGAAGGAGGTACACTTTTGACCATCCAGGGCAAAAATTTGGGAACTAATATTGATGAAGTGCAGGTTAACATAGACAAGGTGAAGTGTAACATCACAGAACTTCGAGCCCCCGATAGGTACGTCACTGTGTTTGTGTTTGTCATGTCATGTTTGGGTATTACCATGTCAACAGTTTTTGAAACTTTTAGTATATAGATAAACCAGATCTGTAAAATGTATTGCACAAGAACTAAAGATCTGGAACAAGACTAAAGTCCAGAAGTAAAAGAACAGCCAGAAGTTTTTGCTAGAGTCTGCAACCGGTGAACATAAAGTATAAGAAGACATTCATTGAAAAAATAATTGCGGATGAGGTTGTTCAACATAAGATGAAGTCAAAACAGCTAAAGAAATCTGAGAAATATTCGGACAGGCACTTGTGTCAATAGTTATCAGACTAAGATGGCAAATAAATTTGTGGCACATCCTGAGAAGAAATGAGCAGATCGCCAAACGGATACTGAAATGTAAACAAATGGATTTGAGAAAACAAGAACGTCCAAGGGAAACCTTAAAGCAAATATTGTTGAATGAGATAAAAGAGGCTGGACTAGATTACATCCATGATGTTGGAAGGATGGCAGAGGAATATACAGTCAGCCCTGTGTGAAATATACTGCCTCAGCAGGATGATCAGGATAATAGTTACAAGCGTCATCCCCATGCAGGATGCAATTTTTAGTTATTTTGAAACCACACCCTGGTTTTTGCTTGAGGCCCCTAATATGGCCGGGCCTTGAATACGACCTAGCGGCTAAAGGGGGTTTCCGGTACCTCTCCACGGGTAATCCTCATCCGAATGGGGTCACTTTGTGTCACCAGGTGTTTGTCGCTTGTGTGATGTCCTGGTGGGATACACCTTACTTAGTTGATTGTGATGATGAGGATGATGTTAATTTTGTGATTCCATGGCAGCATGGTTGCTAAGCGCTTACATGCCTCCCACAGGTCTTAAATTTGAATCAGCGTCCAGTTGGATTTTGTATAAATAGATTTTGGTTACCTTGTTGACCCAGCCTGACATGGATACCAGGAAATGTCCTGGGAAGTCAAGTGGGCAGTCATGTTGTTGACCACATGACCTATAGAGTTCCGGCCAGTAGGTGTAGCACCATATGGCTGATGCCCCAGTGGTGGGGAAAAGGCCCCTAACTTTCTTACTGTCACTGTAATTATTATGAATAGCTGAAATTGTCTTCCTTGGGAAGTTTTTCTTTCTCCCTAAAACTATGTAAATAAACAGCAAAGATGTGGTTTCTGAGACAAATGTGAATTTATCTTGAACAGCCAAAGTAACCAGCAAAGGTAACCTTAAAAATGCTAAAAATAGAACCAGTTAGCTTTGTATCATCATAAACTCAAGCATCAGGTGAACATTGTGTCTAGAGAACCTTTATCAGCACATACATAAATCTACAATTCCATAGATTTGAACAAGAACGCACAGAATCATTTAGCTGATGTATTTCCAATAGGAGTCACATTGATCTCCGGCCACTAAATGAATGACAGGTTTGTGACCACCAACACAAAATGCTTGCCAGAAAACAAGGGCCTTAACTCAAAGATAGTAAATAAAACTGTGTTGAATCCCTTAGGTGGATTTGCCCCCATTCAATAGAAAGTGTTCTCAAGAGTCGGTCTGTCATTGAATTTCCTAGACTTGATCTTGAGAGTCTGAGTCTGTCATTGAAGTTCTTAGGTTTGATAGCAATAATCTCCACCTTTTTAGCCAGACTTTAGCAGAGATATCAGATAGCTGTGTACCCACTCCTTGTTGATACCAGCATTAGCTGTAATGTTATTGTAAAAAGTCTCCTAGTTCTTCCTTGGATACGTGAAGAAGAAAGATATTAAGTGCACCTACAAGGAATGACAGGGAACAGCTAATCCATTAGCTTGATGTTTGCCTGCAGAATTGAAACTCCTCATGTGAGTTCCAGGGCCCCATTGTAAGGAAAACAAGATTAGACCCGCTGCCTCTTCATCAAGTATGTCGCAAAGATTGGACCAATTGGGGGTTTTCTTCAGTCAGAGTGAATCTGCCTGAGAGGCGAGGAGCCAACAATCTGCATACACATAAGTCAAATTGTCAAATGGATGTGCATGCAACACTCAGGTTTTGGAACCACACTAAGGTTCAGGGGTGGACAAACAACTTTCCACCAGAGTCTGCAATCGGTGAATGCAGATAAGAAGCAGACAGGATTTTACAGGATATAACACAGCGAGCCCCAGGTAATATATATTGGCACAATAGAATAATGATGATGATTATGACTGTCATGTCAACAAAACTTTGACGAGGACATTTCTTCTGTGGACGGCAGATAGTTAAAGGTGATATGGACAACCATAGGAAACCTGGAGAAGGACAGTAGAAAGGGAAATAAAGAAATCTAACATGACATGGAATGCCATGGGCAGAATTGCAATGGACTGGTGGTGGCAAGGGAGATCACTTATGAATATCTTATGTATCTGCATGGAACTGAAGACGATGTGGATTGTTAGTAGTTGTAATAGGTGACATTTTTGTTATCTGCATTTGTTATTACCTTCTCTTTCCAGAATTATATGCAAGACGGAGTACATAGGTGTGGACCTAAGAGATAAGGTCAGGGTCATGATTGGCTCAGCAGGGGGGAAGCAGTTCATGAACGAGTCTGCCGACTATTTCTCATTTGTGGTAGGTCAACCATTATTTCTGTCAGCAAACTGTAAAGAGAGGAGAGTTTTTATTAGTGCAGTCTAGTACCAATTAGTTTTTTTAATGAAATAAATAAAAGATTTAGTACAATGTTGTTTCAGATAGACACAAATAGAAAATTACTAGTACATTGTGTGTCATAATGAAATAAATAGAGGAACACAAGTGACACACAGTTGAATAATATTGTTTGTAGGAAATTCCTAGCTCAGTCTCCTAGCTTTCTATCTCTCCCCCTTCTCTCTCTCTCCCCTCTCTTTCTCTCTCCCTCTCTCTCTTTCTCTCTCTCTCTCCCTTCTCTCTCTCTCCCCTCTCTTTCTCTCTCTCTCTATCTCTCCCCCTTCTCTCTCTCTCCTCCTTCTCTCTCTCCCCTCTCTTTCTTTCTCTCCTCCTCTCTCTCTCTCTCTCTCTCTCTCTCTCTCTCTCTCTCTCTCTCTCTCTCTCTCTCTCTCTCTCTCTCTCTCTCTGCCTTCCTATCACACACAAGCAGAAAGGAAATAGTATATTTCATAGTTGAAGGCATTTTATAATTATTTACAATTACATTTCTGGAATGTTTCTCTGCTCATCTATGTTCAAAAATGATCATGCTACCATCTCTCAGTCTCCCTGTGTAGGTTTACAGCCCCGCTATTTTAGTTAAAACAAAGAATAGGCCCACTGCCCTCACCCCCCTCTTCCCCAAACAAGTATGTTGTAAGAGTTGACTAATTATCGGTGTTTTCTTTGAAGTTGGACTGCATCTGCCTCAGAGGCGAGGCACTAACTGTCTGCATACAAATAAACCAGATCTGGAAAACAGATGTGCACACAAAACTCAAGTTCTGGAACAATGAGTCCAGAAGTGGACAAACAGTCTGAACTGTCTGTTGGAGTTTACAGTGTATGCGAAGAAGAAGAATCTATTGATCTATAAGTATGGTTCAAATTTTTTGTCCTATACGCTAAAAGAAACTATCAATCCACAGATACCTCGTATCACAGACATCTCTCCAACGCTGGGACCCTTTGATGGTGGTACAGCCATCACCCTGATAGGTGAACACTTGGATGCTGGGTACAACAAGTCTGTACTCATTGGTCAGAAGTATGTGTGTACAGACATCAAGAGGTAAGCATTTTGATGGACAAAAAGCACATTACACATTTGTTGCTTGCTCTCTTTATAATATTTATTGATATTTTTAATGTTCTTTAAACTCCTTCACATCACTTCTGTATACCAATGCTCTCTGCCTATCGTCCTGTTGACCTGAAATTTTGCCTGTTGTAGCTATCTGAGTCCCTTCTTCTTCATCCGTAATTCGGCAAGGCTACATTCTATTGTCATTAATAACAAAATTAACAGTGCAAGACATTTGATATCTTACAATCTGTTGTTATTAATGTCAAGGATTGCTAGGGAAAGTGGAGAACTGCTAAAGACACGGAATCAAAGTTAAATGCATTCAGAAACAATTACTTAAAGAAATTGATGAATGTTGAATTGGGTAAATTGAGCAAAAGCTTGGAAATAAGAGAATTGTCTGGACTACCGCTGGTACCAACAGTTAAAAGACTTAACAAATCTGGCAGTATATTCAGCACATCATGAACGGAAGCAGTCAGCAAATCACTAAACAGGTGCTGAAATTGGAAACAAATGGACTGAAGAAATAATAAAGATACCCAAGAGACATCTTATGATGATAATTGTTGTGAAAGGCCAAAGGTGTGAACTTATTGAATCCCAAATGTCAAGATGAACAACATTTGAAGTGTCCCCAGTGTCAAGATGAACAACAGTTGAAGTGTCCCCTGTGTCAAGATGAACAACAGTTGAAGTGTCACCTGTGTCAAGATGAACAACAGTTGAAGTGTCCCCTGTGTCAAGATGAACAACAGTTGAAGTGTCCCCTGTGTCAAGATGAACAACAGTTGAAGTGTCCCCTGTGTCCAGATTAACAACGCTCAAATTGTCTTGATTGTCAAGAAGAATGTACATTCTAATTGTCCCTAATGTTAATATGAACAGTCTAATTGTCCCCAATGTCAGGATGAAATTTAATTGTCCCCAATGTCAAGATAAACAGTAATCTAATTGTCCCTAATGTAAAATTGAAAAACAATCTAATTGCCCTCATTGTCAAGATAAACAATCTAATTGTCCTCATTGTCAAGATGAACAATCTAATTGTCCTCATTGTCAAGATAAACAATCTAATTGTCCTCATTGTCAAGATAAACAATCTAATTGTCCTCATTGTCAAGATGAACAATCTAATTGTCCTCATTATCAAGATGAACAATCTAATTGTCCTCATTGTCAAAATGAAAAATCTAATTGTCCTCATTGTCAAGATGAACAATCTAATTGTCCTCATTGTCAAAATGAACAATCTAATTGTCCTCATTGTCTAGATGAACAATCTAATTGTCCTCATTGTCAAGATGAACAATCTAATTGTCCTCATTGTCAAGATGAACAATCTAATTGTCCTCATTATCAAGATGAACAATCTAATTGTCCTCATTGTCAAAATGAAAAATCTAATTGTCCTCATTGTCAAAATGAAAAATCTAATTGTCCTCATTGTCAAAATGAACAATCTAATTGTCCTCATTGTCTAGATGAACAATCTAATTGTCCTCATTGTCAAAACGAACAATCTAATTGTCCTTATGGTCAAGATCAACAATCTAATTGTCCTCATTGTCAAGGTGAACAATCTTAGACTTGTTAATTTCTGTATTTTCAGTATAAATGCTACAGCCATCACTTGTAAGACATCGCCTATGACCCAGTTAACTCGACAGCAGATGGATGTTTCCATGATGATTGACAGTGCAGTCTTGAATCCCACAGGGGTGGTTTTCACATATGTTGAGAACCCTAATGTCACATGGGTGTCCAGGAACGCTGTCATTAGAAGGTGACTTTTTTCATGTATTTGATTGTTTGATATGTTCCTGTTTAGTTAATGAGCAAGCGAAACAGTTTCTTGAGGCCTCTGAGGTGTGGTTTTACAAAAGAATCCTTAGAATTCCTTGGGCAGCCAAAAAGAACAACCCAGATGTTTGGAAAGGTGAGGGCTCAAAGACAACTTCTTACAAACATCATAAAGAGAAAGTCATCATTTTGTTAGTGAAGAAGGAAACTGGAACGTGTTGTGTGAGACAATTGTTGACAGCCTTTTGTCATGGCATGGAGAGGTGTCAACACGCAAACTGTTACACGCATTTAAAGATTGCAGATTGTTGAGAGACATGCCAGTTGACAAGACACTTGATGATGATTTTTTTTTGTCTGCTTTGTGTGGGGGTGGGGGGGGGGGGGGCATTAGACCCTCTGCCTCCCTAACAAGAATGTCATGTAGGGCAGCTAAACAGGGATGTTTCCTTTAAAGTCAGAGGGCATCTGCCTGAGAGGCACATAACCACGAGTCTGCATACAAATAATCCAGATGTGTAAAATGGGTATGCACGCAAGAAATTCTGGAACAAGACCAAAGTCTGGAAGTTGACGACAACCAGTACTTTCTGCCAGAGTTTTCAGCCAGTGAGTGCCAAGAGAAAGGTTGCCCAGTATTGTAAATAATAGTGAATTATAAATTTAAAAGAGGATTGGTCAAAAATGTTTCCAACAGCGCAGGAAAATTTAAGGATCTAGAGTGATAATGAAAATTATTAAATATTATTTATACTGGGCTCTATTTTGTGGTGCAAACATCTGGATAATGAACAACCACTAAAAAAAAATCTAATTTTTTACCTTGGCAAGAGACAGAGTGTTGGAGATCAATTTTTTCCAACCTTCACCATGCAGATTGATTGATTGTTTGATTGAATGATTGATCCAAGTCCAGCTGTTTATTAACATGTGTTAAATGTGTCATGGTTTGTACTTCTTGTGTTTATAGCATGTGTCTGGATGTATCCAAGTGCTGTTCTCTGTTTATAGATGGTGTCTAATTGCTACTGTTTATTTTATTGCGAAAGCTAATGAATATCGTTCAGTGCATCAAAGCCTAGCAAATGATACCACAACATCTAATTTGAGAATGGAGTTTGAGGCAGTCACAGTAGCTTTCCATCGGTTTGAGATCTAGATACATGCACATCTTGTGATTTAACAGACTCACAAAACATACTGGGAAAGGTGAAGAAAGGCATGCGGTGTGCTCAGTACAAACATTGCTTTAAATCTCCTGGGTGGTTGATGAGGGAAATTGAACTGCTGCAGGACTGCTCACTGAGCGATTAACACTCAATGACTCACAGGGCTACTATTCAGATGACAGTCCCCTAGGTACAAATCCCAGAAACCCTGTTCAACCCCCTGACACACTCATTTTGGGGCAGCCAATGGTTATGAAATAAACTGTAGTCTAATTGGATTGAGCAGTGTATTCATGGGTGGATCCTTTAGATTTTTCATTAAGGACACACAAGTGTATTGGAAAATTAACAGACAGACTGGCTGGTTCTGCACGGCTTGGTAGTACATTGCTGCATGACAGGCTAGATGTGGTCAAACCCTTTAGGAGAGGGTGAATTTTGGGGCTGCACAACTAGATCATGACGGTGTAGAGGGAACTGTGGCAGGGAGTGAGTAGGGGATCTGGTCACAACTCTACCCACTGCTCAGAAGCAAGACAGACATATAATCAAACTGCTGCTGGTATCGTCAGAATTAAAAGTATGTGCTGACTGCTGAAGATTGGGATGGAGTGCTTAAGGCAGGGCTGTTTGCTAAATTTACTCAGGGGCCAAAATTTTGAAAATGGGGTTGTCATGGACCAGAGCCTGAGGCCGTACAATGGTCATCAATACAATACAGATGGCGGTGATCCACAGGGAACTTGCTAGGCCTCAGTGGGCCCAGATTTGGCTTGTGGGCTGCGAGTTAAATAACCCTGGCTTATGGTGTTGTGATCTTGGTACTTCAAATAAATGACAGTGTGTATCTTGATGTGTCTGTGTGGTATTGTTGGCTAGTTGTAGCTGGTGCTTCTCTTTGTTTGTAATGTCTGTATGTGCCCAAATGCTACTCTGTGTTGTTGGATTGTTATCTAAGTGCTGCTGTTTGTGTTACAGTGGAGGACTTGAAGTGAATGTGTCCGGAGAGTATCTACACCATGTCCAGTCTCCTGAAATTGTCATCTGGTCCAACGGACATGGCTTTTATGGTGTAAGTATTTGACCATTCCTTTTACTGGGTTCAGTGATTGTAGGTGGGGTTAGAGGTAGCGTAGAAGTGGAAAGTGTTAGGCCCTCACGTATTCTGGGTCATACATAATTATGTGAGATAACAGTCTTTATCTCTCTCTCTCTCTCCCCCTCTTCTCTCTCCCCCCCCTCCCCCCCCCCCCCTCCTCCCTCTCTCTCTCTCTCTCTCTCTCTCTCTCTCTCTCTCTCTCTCTCTCTCTCTCTCTCTCTCTCTCTCTCTCTCTCTCTCTCTCTCTCTCTCTCTCTCACACACACACACACACAGACATGCGTGTAGGCTTTTGTGTGCCTTGTCACATCATTCTCATGTGTGTCTTCACCTCTTTCAAAACATATAGTTATGAATTTAGACTATCCATGGAATTTTAAGCCTTTTTCAGTACAATCACATTTCTGAGATCTCATTTATTTAATTGTATGTTTGTGTTTATTTATTTATTGTGACTTGTTTTACTTTTTGTCCAAAATATTTGCATGGATAGGGAAAAGAGTAGCAGTCACCAGATTTGCCGTTCTTTTGATGGCTTGAGATTGTAAACCAATGCTGCCTGTGATTATCGACAAAGCACAATGTCAATGATGATTGCCCATGTTATATAATCCTAGGTTAAATCTTGTCCTGTGTAAACTGCAAGAATTCTTTTTCTAACTTCCAGCATTACAGATTTAGATGTTCTTAATGTTCAGAAATTGATTTTTTCTGTCTCCCCCCATTTTTTAAATTTGTTCGAGATATCTTCGATCGATGTTCTGAAATACTCGAACAGCTGTATATAAATAATGCTGAGTGTCTTGCTGACAGACTTGAGTAAATATACTTCTCAACTTGCCCAGGCTTGTACCTTGGAGAAGTCACTTCAGGGTTACTCAAGTTACAAACAAAATCAAACTGTATGGAGTTTGCATCCTTCTTTATGGCAGCTAAATCCGGATTCTGTATGCTCCTTAAGAAAAAAAAGGCAATACTTTCCACAAGTGCTGTATAAGATGCATTCTTGATATACCATAGCCAGACTTTGTCCCCAGTGAATGTGTAGCAGTATTCTTTCTACTGAAGCAGACACCTGCACTGGTTGGGATCATTCTTCATAATGAAGGACGGTATTCCAAAAGGATGTCCTGTATGGTAGTCTTGATGCAGGGAATAGAGATGCAGGAAGGCTAACTATAAGAACGTACGCAAACACGACCTGGAAGATATCAGCATTGACATGGGATAGATCAGCTGTAGACCAGTTCTCATTGAAGCAGACAGTGAAAGACGGACTGTCACACTTTGCAACAGCATTTAACAGTTTGTATGCTAACAGCTGCAAATACCATGAACACACACATACAGACACACACAAATCTGTCAAGAATTTTCTGTAATTGTCTTCCTCAACCTCTTTGTCCATATATCTTTCCAGTTGTCACAACATGTTCCAGTTTTCTCTTCTAAAACGTATGATGTGTTCATCACTATATTCCACTTTTGAGCAAAAATAAAGATTGTTTTCTTTCTAAGTTTGCAATAAGTGTGTCATGTGTGTGCATATTTGAGAGATTTTTATTGCTATCTACATCCTCACAGCCATGCAAGTTCACTCAGTTTCCTGCCACCAACATCACCTGCATCTCGCCACTGGTCGAGGATCTGAAGCCACATTTTGATGGCTTTCAAGAGCTGGAGTTTGGATTTAAAATGGACAGTGTGAAGCAGGTGGAGCGGCTCAGCAGCCTAGGGAAGATGAGGGTGTACCCGGACCCAAAGCTAGAAGCCTTCAAGAACGGAGAGAAGATCCACCAACAGTCTCATGACATTTTGTTCATTGATGTAAGTGTTATTTTATTTATCTTTGGTGATATATGTGGAATTATGATCAGATACCCACCCAAATTAAACTGCAGGTTCCCTGTGTGGGTTTTAGTGCCTGATTGTGGGAAACAAAATGAATAGACCCACTGTTACCTAGCAAGCATGTCATAGGAGTCGACTAATTAGATATGTTTCCTTCGAAATCGGATTGCATCTGCCTGAGAAATGAGAAACTAGCAGTCTTCATAAAAAATAAGCAGAGTCTGAAAATACAGATGTCCCTGCAAAACTCAGGGTCTGGAACAAGACTAAAATCCAGAATTGAATGAACAGCCAGCCAGATCTTTCCGCTGAAGTTTACAGCTGGCGAACGCAAAGAAGAGGAAGACTGCAGGTGACTGCTCAGTCTCTAAAGGCTGAGGTAGCAGGCCACATTTGGAGGATGAAGGATGAAGGATGGAAGAGTACCCAAGGACATCCTCAGTGGCGAATTACAAATGGGTAAAAGATGTCGAGGTCAGTTCTACTCTGATGTAATGATGTGTGCAAGTGAGACATGAATGATACTAGTATTCTTCTTCTTCTTCTGTGCGTTCACCAGCTGTACATTCTGGCGTAAAGTTCTGGTTGTTCGTCCACTTCTGGACTGCAGTCCTGCTCCAGAACCTGGGTGTTGCATGTGCATCAGTTTTACAGATCTGATTCTATTGAATGCAGACTGCTGGTTCCTTGCCTCTCAGGCAGATGCACTTCGACTTCAAAGGAAGCTCCCCAGTTAGTCGACTCTTACGACATGCTTTTGGGGAGGCAGTGGGTCTATTCTTGTTTTCCCCACAATAGGGCCCCGGAACCCACACGGGGGATACTAGTATTGAGGTAGGTATGGTGCCTGGGAGAGGGTGAGCCATGGGCAGTGATGCATGGTGGGGTGGGGGGGGGGGGGGGGTTCAGGAAGGGAATTGGAACACAGGAAAAAAATAATTGCAGAAAGATTGAGAGATGAGCGTCTGAGAAGAAGCAGACTAAATAAATGTGACAGCAACAACGGTCCTGAAATCTTATCCTCTAATTGTGAAAGACTTTTCCTAAAGCGGGCTGGTCTTGCTAGTCACACTCACCATCGCCATGGGCTGCAGACTTTGGCAGCACTCATTGTAGAAGCAATGGGGATTTTACAGAAACAAAGGAAAGACTAAACACACATCCTGCTTTCTTTGGGACTGAAAGAGTCAGTACCAGTACCAGGAAAATTCCCGGAAAGTAAAGGTGGCCGGCATCACCCATCAAGGACAGTTTGGTCTATAAAAATATGAATCTAGCCTCGTATGCCCAACTTGCCATTGACGTGCAAAGGGACCTTCACTTTAAAAAAAAATAATAATATAAAATATAATCCACATTCTGCACTGTAGCAGTTAACTTGCTGCAGAAGGTCTTGCTACTGAGGCACCACTGACTGACTGAATTGTTATCTTGTACGTATATATTTTTGAGGCTGTTATGTTTCAGGGCCAGTACCTGGCTGCTCTGAAGAACTACGATGTCCGGGTGTTCATAGGGAAAGAGCAGTGTGTGGTCAGGTCTGTGGTGACATCAGTCATCACATGTACCCCGCCCCCATCACAGCCGGCCGCCACTGCTGGAGGTGGATTTCCAGAAGTTGTTGTGAGTACATCCGTACATGTGTCTTATTTGTTTCTTTTTATTTTCTTCCCTGTGTGGATTCTGGGGGCCGTATTTTTGGGTGGGGGAGAGGGGGTGTTGTGTGTAATAGATCCATTGCCACCCCCCCCCCCCCCCCCCCCCCACCCCACCCACCCACCCACAAGCATGTAAAAAAAAAATACAATAAGTTATGGGTTTTTCATTCAAAGTCAGAGTGCATCTGCCTGGAAGGCAAGCAACCAACAATCCCCATACAGATAAACCATACCTGTAAAACAGATGTGCACACAAAAAGTCCTGGAACAAGACCAAAGTCCAGAAGTGAAGAACAGCCAGAACTTTCTGCTGGAGTTTATAGCCCTTACAGACATGACTACCCACACCACACCGCATGGTTCAAAGTGAAGAACAGCCAGAACTTTCTGCTAAAGTTTATTATAGCCCTTACAGACATGACTACCCACACCACACGGCATGGTTCAAAGTGAAGAACAGCCAGAACTTTCTGCTAAAGTTTATTATAGCCCTTACAGACATGACTACTCACACCACACGGCATGGTTCAAAGTGAAGAACAGCCAGAACTTTCTGCTGGAGTTTATAGCCCTTACAGACATGACTACCCATGCCACACCGCATGGACTAAGTGAAGAACAACCAGACCTTTCTGCTAGAGTTTATCGCCCTTACAGAATGACTACCCATGCCACACGGCATGGACTAAGTGAAGAAAAAGAACTGTTGGTTTAAAAGCCTTGAGTTTGGATACACATTGAGGTTGATTTTTATGTGTAAGGGTCTGGTAATTCACGATCAAATAAATTTAATTTTAATCTTCTTTTTGTCAGTATCTGGTGAGAACAGTAGTTTAGCTGTTCTTCTTCTTATAGTCTATGCCGTGTGGTGTTGGTAGTCCTGTATGTCCCAAATCCTCTGTCTCGTTTACTCTAAGTGATTTCTGACAGATGATCTTCCATGTCATGATGTCAGACAGTACAGCATCTTCTCTCTGTCTCCCTCTGCCTCTTTTCTCCTCCAACTTTCCCACCATCCTGATGTACTCCAGTTTTCTCCTTCTCATGACATGCCTAAAGAATGTATATTGTCCTGTGACTTTGTGCGTCAGTTTCTTTCAAAACATTTCTTCTTTTTTTTTTGTCCAGACTGTTCTCTCATTCATCTATAAAACCTCATCTCTGCTGCTTCCAAAATAAATTTTCACTAATTGCCCAACTGTCCGTGATTCACTTCTAGATATCAGGATATGACTTATATGCCTTACTATACTTGTAATTATATCTGTAATATCAATGAGTGTATGACGATTTCAGGTGCATTGGGTGTTGGGTGAAATAAAAAAGGCATATAGAAGGCCTTATGTGCCCTATTTGTAACGCTTAAAAAATGAAGTTCATTCATTGGTTTTTTTATAATTTATGGCTCCTTTATGTTTCTTTATATTACATGGTGTTGGACATATATGGCCGCAGTCATCCCTCTCATATATTGGCAAAAAGTAGTTTTGCTATCCTTGTGTTTATAGCCATAATATCAGTGAGTGTATGATGTTTTCAGGTGCACATTGGAGAGAATCTGACCTTCCCTTTGGGGTATCTGCACTACGAAAAACAGGAGGAACTCTCACAAGAAGCCATCATTGGTATTGCTGCAGGTGGTGTTGCTGTCTTCCTGTTGGTCACGTGTATTGTCTGCACTGTCTGCCTCATCAAGTTCCGCCGCAATGATGACATGATGAAGAAAATGAGGAAGGAGATGGATCAGCTGGAATCTAGAGTGGCAAATGAATGCAAAGAAGGTAAGTAGCGTTTGCTTTTGTTTCCAGCACAGACTTGTTCCTCTTTCTATGTCATCTGTGTGGTGGTTGAGGTTTGTGTGTTTATTTGAATGTATGTGAGTGCCATGGCTGCTTTTTTATGCTTTAACTTAATATTCCTATTGTGTATACTGATAAAGGAACATAACATGCTTTAAAGATAAAATACAACTGCTGTGTGAATAGTTAATATTTGGAAGACTGGCACATGTGCACACTTTGTTACGCTTAAAAAATGAAGTTCATTCATTGGTTTGTTCATTTGTATCTCCTTTATGTTACCCGGTGTTTGTCATATATGGTCGCAGTCATCCGTCTCATATATTGGCAGACATTTTTAATACAGATGTTCTTCAACAAGAGGCAGATCTGAAATGGGTCATTTTGAGGGTGCCATCTAACAGATTTGCTGCCTTTGTGATGTTAATCTTGGAATTGAATGGATGCCCACATCTGCTAAGCCAAACATTAACATTACAGTCCATATCACATTTAATAGAAGCTGCAGAGAGCAGATTCCTGGCAAATCAGACATGTTAGTCAGAGTGCTGATTGATGATGCCAGACTGTCCAGTATCTGCTCTCATGGCCTGTCCATGCCTCTCCTTCAGTTTGACTGTTGTCAAGACATTCTGCTCCTAGTGTGGGTTCTGAGGTCCCATTAGGGAAGTGGGGATGAAAAGACCAATTGCTCTCCTATAAACATATTAAAATTGAATGGATAGACTTTCTTGCCCCGGGTTGTATCACACGTGGCTCGGTTTCTCTGCACAGAGTGGATAGCCGCCTGCCAAGAGCATTGTACCAAGCACAAACTCTATATCTGCAGTGCTGATCACCAGGGATCTCTGTAAAATTTGCACTTATGAACTGAACAATGTGTCAATGAAACAAACCCACCACCTTCAGAGCTTGAGGCAGACGGTTTGACCACTTCACTACAAAGTCCCACACAAGCATGTCAGAAAGGTAAACTAATTAAAGGATTGCCTAAATTGGATGTCTAAAAGGCGAGAATATCTCAGCCTAGCTTTAAACCGCAACACTGCGCGCCAACTACCCTTGCAAGGGTAAAATCAGAAGTAGTTTTTTCTCCCATCTCATAAAGTTTATATAGAATGTGTGCTGTCTTTCATTTTTATTTTTATTTTTTATATGTGTTTTTTTTTTTAAATTATTGTTGTATTTTGTCATGTTTTCACCTGCAAATGAAGAGTTCTAAACATGTTTCTTTTGTTTTGGCTCATGCAGCTTTTGCTGAACTGCAGACGGATATGAGTGAGTTGACCAGTGATCTGTCCGGGGGCAGCTCCATCCCATTCTGGGACTATAGAACTTACTGCATGAGAGTGCTGTTTCCCCCTGAGTGTAATGATCATCCAGTGATTCGTGAACTAGAGGTGAGTGAGACATCAGCTTGTACAGAACCCACAGTTATAATTGGGTCACTCTAAACTTTGTATTTCCTCACATTGAGTTAACAAAACCATGCTAGACTTTGTCATCTCCCCCCCCCCCCCCCCCCCCCCCACACACACACACACACACACACACAGTATTAACAAAACCATGCTAACTTGGTCATTTCCCTCACACAGTATTAACAAATCATGCTAGAATTCGTTTTTTTCCCCATACAGTATTAACAAATCATGCTAGACAACATTTTCACACACAACATTAACAAAGTTGTCCTGCTAAACTTATGATTTTCCCACACAGTATCAACAAAACTGTGCTAGACTGTCATTTCTCCACATAGTGCTATCAAAATCGTGCTACGTTTGTTTAGCTCTCACCTTTCATCATCATATAGCAGGTCCTTTGCAGAACGTCGCTCTCATCACAGTCTGCCTGAAAGAAACTCGGTCTCTCGCCAGTTCTCCCGCCTCATGCATTTTCACCCTTACTTGCTCTGCAATCGTTCTCTTCCCCAATTCACTTTGTGATCTGCCTGGCCTGGGGGCCTCACCATCAGATTGAGTTTCATTTTTAGCTTCCATGATGAGTTTCTTGGGATAGTAATGTGGTTGTTTCCCGTTGCTTTCCACATCCACATGGCTTTAGACCATGTCCTCAGCCTTCAGCAACCTTTTCGATTGCTAGGGCAAGTGAGTGCCCTGCTCTGTGATGCTCCTAACAGTCATATAAAAAGCATGCTAGAGTTGATCAGTTTCCTGCACTACACAGAGAAAATCATCCTAAATAGTCAGTAACAAGGTATAAGACTCTTTTCCACGCCTACAGGCACATAGGGCTAAACCTATATTTTATAGACTAGTCGGCACTTGGTGGGTGATATGGTCAGCATCATGCCGGCCACCTTTACTTCCCAGTCAGCACCCTTGATTTCTCAGTGAATCTTATAAAACTGCATCTTTTCTCCCTCTTGATATGACAACTGCAATTTTATCAGGATATATCCCTGCTACAATTTTTTTTTCTATTGTATATCGGTTACCATAGCTCTTTATCACGTATATATTGTTATAAAACAGATAAGCGTGAAGTGGCTTAAGTTTAAAAATGCCGTTTTTAACTCCAAAACAGCTTGTTCGATTTCACTGCATGTGACTGGCACAAGACTGCTTTGCATTGATCTCAGTAATGCTATGGAGCACTGACAGTTCATGAGCAATGACAAACTACTGAATGTAAAATTGCCTGGTAAAACCAAACAGCCAACAAATGCTGGGTTTGGTTTGCAAGGATATGCTAACATTTCTTGATATCAGGTAATCAAGTCCTGATCTAGATTTATTGTAAGTTTTGTATTATTGGTGTTAAATATAATTATATAAAATGCACATCTGTTTTGTCAACTTTGTGTTTATTGTTCCTTCTAACATTTGCATTCATTTCTGATTTTCCTTTTGTTTACAGTTGGACTACAGGCACAGAGAGGACACAGAGCGTGGCTTAAAGTTGTTCTTTAACCTTATCAGGAACAAAACTTTTCTGCTGATCTTCATCCGGACTCTGGAGGCAAACAAGGACTTCAGCATGAAGGAGAGGGTCAATGTGGCCTCTTTAATTTCTGTCAGCTTGCAGACACAGATGGAGTATGCTACAGAGTGAGTCTTAATATTCTTCTGTTTGTTTTTCTTTTCTTACTTTTCATGCAGCTACACAATTTTCATTTACTAATCAGATTCACATGTGATCTCGAAACAAGGATTCACCATTAAGGTGATATTGGTGTAGTGCCATCCCCATATCAGCAAGCAGGCTTTATTACCTGTTTTTGCGCCTTAGCCTTTCAACTGTTTCTAGTAAAGTAGTAGTAAAGGGACCCTTTTTACCCCTGAGGCACTAGGAGCCTGTTATTTCAGTACCATATTTTGTATAGACTGGATGGGTTACATGATCATCATCATGCAGGCTGCTCCTACCTTCCCCATGATATATCCAGGGATTCACTTTAGGCTGCATTGAAAAAGTCTGCCTTGCTGCAGATGCAAACCCATCCATGTATATTGGACTGGCAGATATTCTTGATGGTCACTCTGTGATAATGGTTCCCCTTGCTTATCTACTCCAGTGCAACCCGTGATCAAAAGTCAGTAGCCGTTCACCTAGATACACAGCAGTGTGAGGGTAAATAAATCTCCAGCAGATTACTTCCCCTGACGTGTGGGCCCCATGTTTTCCATTAGAGGTTAGAACAATATTTACTAACAGATTTTGTCATTGTACAGAAAGATGTCAACACACTAATTAATACTTGCTGATGAAAGTCACCAAGATTTGGTGTAGCATGGTTTGCTAATGCCAGCCGGCAAGGCACTTTATGAAGATTATATGTGTCGGTATGTGTTTTGTATTGTAAGGGAATTTATTTTGAGAGGGAAATACATTTACCAGTTTGAAGTAATTTAATAATTACTTCCATTCTTCTATTTCAGAATTCTAAAGACCCTGCTAGCTGAACTCATAGAGAAAACTATTGAAAATCCAAAAGTTCATCCGAAAATTTTACTTCGAAGGTACACCATTTTTTTTAAAAATTGTTGTTAAACTTTCCTGAGGTTCTTGCAGTTGTTAATTACATATTGCATATTGTTGAGCTGCTTGGAGACTTTTGCTGTCAATCATGTTAGATACTTTGGTTTTTCTTAGATTTTCTTATAGCTATATATCTTCTAACACATTGTTGTGTTTTCCAGAGATTTCTGTTGAAGTTAGTTGGCAACACCTTCCTGTAGTTGTAAATCACACTACACATTGTTAATAGTGTTTTTCCAAGTTGTTGATTAAGTTGTAAATCTCATTAAAAATTGTGTTTGCCAGTCTTTTGTTAGTGTAGAAGAGCTTGTGATTCTAGATTGATTTGTATTATTTTCTTCTCTGAAAGAAATTTTCTAATGTCAGACATATTTTTATGAACTTCTGATTGCAGAAATGAATCTGTAGCAGAGAAGATGTTGACAAATTGGTTTACATTCCTCTTGTACAAATTTTTGAAGGTAAGTTCAAGAGTCCATGTTCTTTAAAGTCATATGTACAGTGGAACCTCGCTTAACGAGCATAATTCGTTCCAGAATCATACTCGTTAAGTGAAACACTCATTATGCGAAACAATTTTTCTCATATAAACTAATGTAAAATACGATAATGCGTTCCATGTCGAAAAAAAAAATATACAAAATGCTATGTTTAACGTTTATTCAAAGAAAATTATATACATATTGTTAAGGAGAGTGAATCATCTTCATCTTTTCTTCAAATGCGGAACAAACCCACCTGGAATGCGAATTCGATTTGCAGAAAAAAAAGTCGAAATAATTATGATACATAGCTAATTATTTTTTTTATTTGAAAGATGCCCAGAGACATTTGTTTTTGCCGACTCTTCAACATTTACCGAAAATGCGACACAGCATTATCAGTAAATAAATTTGCAACGCACATAGCCACTTCCTTATCAGGGCGATGCTTCTCTATATAAAATGCAACAGTTTCCCATGCTTTCAGCATTTCTCTTATTTCGCCAGAAGATTGTTGCTTTTCTGTTAGCTCCTCCTCTGACAAACTTTCCTCCAAAACTTCTTGCTGTGAAACACAGTGCAATTCCATAAGCTCTTCGGTGGTCAGATCTTGGCTGTGCTCTTCCACAAGTTCTTCAATATCACTGTTATCCATCTACAATCCCATGATAGTGGCCAAAGACACAATCAAGACACAATCTCGTTGATTACAGGTTTCAGAGGTACTGTCTCGAACCCCTCAAAGTCACAAATCAACAACGATGTCCGGCGAAAGCTGCTTCCAAGCAGAAGTTTGGGTTCTCTTGGCAACCCCTTCCCCCGCCTTGTCGATCATCTTGAGGCAGGCAACGATGTGGAAGTGATTTTTCAAAAACTCTTTAAGAGTGAGGTTGGTCCCTTCAGTCACCCGAAAATAATGCTCGAAGAGTGCTTTAGTGTAGAGCTTCTTATAGTTAGAAATAACTTGCTGGTCCATAGGCTGGAGTAACAGAGTGGTGTTGGGAGGCAGAAACTGGATCTTGATGAACTTAAATATCTTGTAGGCCTTGAGGATTCATGTACATATATCACACAAAAAACACAAGTTTGAGAAAATGTGTGATCACCAGCGACACTACGATGCTACTGGAACGAGTGCTAAACACAGACTGATGTAACATGCGCACAATGCGGGACTTCCCCTCTTCTCGCCACTCGTTATGCGAAACGTCGCTCGTTAAGCAAGTCATTTTTTTAACAATTTTTTTTTTGCTCGTTATGCGAATTACTCATTATGAGAGGTGCTCGTTAAGCGAGGTTCTACTGTAGTTGGTAAATTAAAATTACATATGCCAACCCCAATATTTTCCTAAGATGAATGTTGACGAAAGAGGCCAGAGATGTAGGACTGGATTTCATCTAAGAAATTTGAAATATTGCACAAAATAGAACAGGAATTGTAGAGTAGACTGCAGCCAGACTTATAATGCACAAAAATATGATGATATTCAAAATCACTTGTGTGTGCATGCGGCGGGTGAGCAGGCACACACAAACCCAGTAAAACTTAGTTAACATGAATTCTAAAAGACAGAAAAATCAAGAATTTGTTCACTACAGACTATAATAAAACATCCCTGCTGGGACCAAAAGTTTGTTTATGTTAATCAAGTGTTTGTCTTAAGAGAGTACGTGTTAATGAGTTTTTACTACATATATCTGTTTATGTGCATGCATCCATGCATATGCATATGTGTATCAGATAGATCGATTACCAAGGTAGTTGATCAGGTTAGTCAGTCAGATCGTCAGGGCTATGGATCACATAGATATATCAGTCAGCATTAGGCTGTTCATCAGATAGTTTGATCATTATAGATCATCAAGGTAGCTCATCGGTAAAATTATTTACCATTCACACTGGAAAGACCGTGTTAGTAGTGATCAAGTGTTCACTATTTGCTCCTTATGTCATCTGTAACCTTCTGTGGTTTCTGTCCAGGAATGTGCTGGGGAGCCTCTGTTTATGCTCTATGGTGCTATAAAACAGCAGGTGTCCAAAGGTCCGGTGGATGCTGTGACCAGTGAAGCTCGCTACTCGCTCAGTGAGGACAAGCTCATCCGACAGCATATTAACTATAAACCAATGGTTGGTACCTTTTTTTTTTTTTAAATGGATATTTTTGTGAATGTTTATTGAGATTTCTTTGAAAATGTTCACTTTGTTTTATTTTACTTTGTGCTTGATATGAACAGGGTGTGATACTATAGGCCAGGGCTATTCAACTAAGTTTGCTCAGGGGCCAATATTTGGGAAATGGTCAAGAGCCAGATGCTCAGTCCCAACACAGAAAGAGTGTTAATGCAATACAACTGCCAGGAAATCTTTGGGCCACTTGTTAGGCCATCGGGCCAGTTTTGGCCTGCGGGCCGCCAGGTTAATAGCCCTGCTGTAGGCTGTGGATTTCATGTGGAATGCTTGTCATCTGTGCTCCTGGTGATTTATTTTGTGAATTTGGCCACAAAAAACAAAAACAAAATGGTGGGTGGCTGGTTGAGACACTGGTTGTGTGCTTTTTGCCATAAATCATGTGCAGCTAGAGGTTTTGTCATTATTGCTGTATCCAGCAGCAATGAACTGCATGCAATTTAAGAGGCAGACTGTTGGTCTTGGCACCTCTGGCAGCTGATTTATGCATTTAATGCATGAGCAAGCAGTTGTTTTTTGCGGGGACTGCGTCCTGACTTTTCATCATATGAAACAGTAAAAGACATTTTGTGTGTTTTTGCTGACACAGAAATTGAGCATCTATGGGGTAACATGATCATCAGATGTGTTGTCAGAATGATTGAGTGTGCTCTGACTAAATGTAAAATGTACAAACATACATGACAAGTTGATGTTGCAGACTAGTAGTATCCATGGACAAATGGTGATTTGTTGAGTATTTGTTGAAATGTAAATTTCTATGGTAACATAATGAAACTGCTATCAGCTGTTAGAAGACAAAGAAGGTGGATCTGTATTGAACACATCCTGAGAAGATGGATCTGTATTGAACACATCCTGAGAAGATGGATCTGTATTGAACACATCCTGAGAAGGTGTGAGCAGAGAATCACTAAGCAGGCACAGAAATAGGAAATAAGTGGATTAAGGAAATGAGCGTGTTCAAAAGAAACCATACAACAATTGATGACAGAGACAAAAGATACTGGACGAGTCTGTCCATGATATTCAAAGGATTGCACAGGGCAGAATGGAACAGAGGAATGGACAGTGAAACTTATGTTACAGACAGATATATGGTACCACAGGCTGATGATTGGCAACATCACGAAGCCGACTTTGCTTCCCCTCTCCCAGGTGTTGTACGTCATGGACCTGGATGTGGACAGATGCTCCCAGCCCACCCACCCTGTCAAAGTCCTGGACTGTGACACCATTTCCCAGGTCAAAGAGAAGATCCTGGATGCCCTGTACAAGAGTGCCCCATTTAGTAGCCGACCGCCCAAGGAGGAGCTAGATCTCGGTGAGTGTTGTTTGTTACCTTTTAGTTGATCATCTTCGTCATCACTATTTTCCACTTTTGCCATTAACTCTTTGAGTCCCAGTGGATTTAGCATCACAGGTCCAAAGGGTAGTCAAGAGAGACGTTAAATCGGCGTATCATGCGTTCATTGGGCTTCTAAGTAGGAATCTATGAACGTATGATGTGTTCCTTGGGACTCAAAGAGTTAAGCATCTTGGGAAGGAAAATTGGGTAATCCATTTCTTGGTGAACTGGCTGTTATCATTCTGTCTGAATGTAAAATTTCTTCAGTCCATATTTTCCTGGGCATCCTCTTGCTTTCATATCAGAGTTAGGTATAACACCCTTATCTGAATTTGTGTGTGTGTGTGTGTGTAAAGCTGCATTGTGATCAGATTACCAAACTTTTTGATCTTCTGCTTCTCAGTGAATTTGGCACAGGGTGTTATTCCCATATATGTTTGATAGTATCATTTCTCATTTGGTTGAGTTAGCAGCTTTCTTCGGGTATCTCATGTCACAGATGTATTTGCAGATTTTCAAATTCTGAAATGGGAACTATTGAGTCAACATTTAACTGCAACATGATGCTAAATATCTGTATGCTTTTTGTTTCCTGCATCCCCCAAGGCACGAAATACATTACTTTGCATAACACATATACAACTTAATGTAACTTTAAAAAATAAATGATACTTACTTACTTACTTACTTACTTACTTACTTAGTCAGTTGTGTTTTACCTTCTGATGTTGAGTTTTGACAGAGAGATCACCAGACTATCCACATTCTTTTTGCCTTTGTTCCATTTGAGTCCTCTATCAGAGACTGGTGGATGTTCTTCCCAGTGAATGTTGAGTCATCCTGGTGGATGTTCTTCCCAGTGAATGTTGAGTCATCCTGGTGAATGTTGAGTCATCCTGGTGGATGTTCTTCCCAGTGAATGTTGAGTCATCCTGGTGGATGTTCTTCCCAGTGAATGTTGAGTCATCCTGGTGGATGTTCTTCCCAGTGAATGTTGGGTCATCCTGGTGGATGTTCTTCCCAGTGAATGTTGAGTCATCCTGGTGGATGTTCTTCCCAGTGAATGTTGAGTCATCCTGGTGGATGTTCTTCCCAGTGAATGTTGAGTCATCCTGGTGGATGTTCTTCCCAGTGAATGTTGAGTCATCCTGGTGGATGTTCTTCCCAGTGAATGTTGAGTCATCCTGGTGGATGTTCTTCCCAGTGAATGTTGAGTCATCTTGGTGGATGTTCTTCCCAGTGAATGTTGAGTCATCCTGGTGAATGTTGAGTCATCCTGGTGGATGTTATTCCCAGTGAATGTTGAGTCAACCTGGTGGATGTTCTTCCCAGTGAATGTTGAGTCATCCTGGTGGATGTTCTTCCCAGTGAATGTTGAGTCATCTTGGTGGATGTTCTTCCCAGTGAATGTTGGGTCATCCTGGTGGATGTTCTTCCCAGTGAATGTTGAGTCCTCCTGGTGAATGTTGAGTCATCCTGGTGGATGTTCTTCCCAGTGAATGTTGAGTCATCCTGGTGGATGTTCTTCCCAGTGAATGTTGAGTCATCTTGGTGGATGTTCTTCCCAGTGAATGTTGGGTCATCCTGGTGGATGTTCTTCCCAGTGAATGTCGAGTCCTCCTGGTGGATGTTCTTCCCAGTGAATGTTGAGTCATCCTGGTGGATGTTCTTCCCAGTGAATGTTGAGTCATCTTGGTGGATGTTCTTCCCAGTGAATGTTGAGTCATCCTGGTGAATGTTGAGTCATCCTGGTGGATGTTCTTCCCAGTGAATGTTGAGTCCTCCTGGTGAATGTTGGGTCATCCTGGTGGATGTTCTTCCCAGTGAATGTTGAGTCCTCCTGGTGAATGTTGAGTCATCCTGGTGGATGTTCTTCCCAGTGAATGTTGAGTCATCCTGGTGGATGTTCTTCCCAGTGAATGTTGAGTCATCCTGGTGGATGTTCTTCCCAGTGAATGTTGAGTCATCCTGGTGGATGTTCTTCCCAGTGAATGTCGAGTCCTCCTGGTGGATGTTCTTCCCAGTGAATGTTGGGTCATCCTGGTGGATGTTCTTCCCAGTGAATGTTGGGTCATCCTGGTGGATGTTCTTCCCAGTGAATGTTGAGTCATCCTGGTGGATGTTCTTCCCAGTGAATGTTGGGTCATCCTGGTGGATGTTCTTCCCAGTGAATGTTGAGTCATCCTGGTGGATGTTCTTCCCAGTGAATGTTGAGTCATCCTGGTGGATGTTCTTCCCAGTGAATGTTGAGTCATCCTGGTGGATGTTCTTCCCAGTGAATGTTGGGTCATCCTGGTGGATGTTCTTCCCAGTGAATGTTGGGTCATCCTGGTGGATGTTCTTCCCAGTGAATGTCGAGTCCTCCTGGTGAATGTTGAGTCATCCTGGTGGATGTTCTTCCCAGTGAATGTTGGGTCATCCTGGTGGATGTTCTTCCCAGTGAATGTTGAGTCATCCTGGTGGATGTTCTTCCCAGTGAATGTTGAGTCATCCTGGTGGATGTTCTTCCCAGTGAATGTTGAGTCATCCTGGTGGATGTTCTTCCCAGTGAATGTTGAGTCATCCTGGTGGATGTTCTTCCCAGTGAATGTTGAGTCATCCTGGTGGATGTTCTTCCCAGTGAATGTTGGGTCATCCTGGTGGATGTTCTTCCCAGTGAATGTTGGGTCATCCTGGTGGATGTTCTTCCCAGTGAATGTTGAGTCATCCTGGTGGATGTTCTTCCCAGTGAATGTTGAGTCATCCTGGTGGATGTTCTTCCCAGTGAATGTTGGGTCATCCTGGTGGATGTTCTTCCCAGTGAATGTTGAGTCATCCTGGTGGATGTTCTTCCCAGTGAATGTTGAGTCATCCTGGTGGATGTTCTTCCCAGTGAATGTTGGGTCATCCTGGTTGTCTAGTTTCCTTGTTCTTCACCTCCAATGTCTGTCTTGGTGGTGGATTCTCTGCCACTCTGCATACACATCCAAACCACCATAACTATAACTGATCCACTAAAGTTTTTTTGATGATACAAAGTGTAATCATTACTGGTCATTCAGTTCATAAATAAAATCTCTTTTGCACAAGCATGTGGTAAAAAGTGACTGATTAGGAGTTTGATGAATTTGGATGTGCCAGGCCAAAAAGCACAGATACCACAGCCTGGTTGTAAACAGGACAACAAGCCAATTATCATTTTAAGGATTCATGCAGAAGAAGACACATTTTTTTTTCAATTTGGTCCAGCATATATTAGAAGATCCACAGTTGGTTTCTGATTATCCTCTCCTGCTGTAATTTCTGTAAAAAAATAATTGTGAAAACATGTCTGTGACTAATTTTTAGTCTCTGAAATGTTGATTTGTCCACACTTTACTGAGATAGTTTGGTAATAGTTAGGGACAACCTGCAGTGTGAAGCATGATGCATGTATTGTTAGATTAGCAGCTGATTTGATTACTTATGCCTTCTTACCTTCTTAAGTCCAGTTTGTTTTGATCAGCCATTACGGGTGCTGTGTTCTATCAGTTGAACCTGCAAACCTGTTTGCTAGTGTTTTTGTTTTTCACCAAGGACAGTTCAGTTGAATGAATAACTTCTCAGCCTTCAGGCATTCCATAAGTGCTGCATCTTAATCTGCAAACAGCTAATGAAGAGTTTCAATTCTAAGAGTATCAGTACCAGTCTGATTATATGTCCATCTTGTTTTTCTTCTAGCTTTTCCTCCTGCCTTTCCTCTTGCATTTCCTGTAGCCTTTCCTCTTGCCTTTCTTCTTGCCCTTTCTCCTGCCTTTCTTCCTGCCTTTCTTCCTGCCTTTCTTCCTGCCTTTCTTCCTGCCTTTCTTAGTGCCTTTCTTCTTGCCTTTCTTCTTGCCTTTCCTCTTGCCTTTCCTCCTGCCTTTCTTCTTGCCTTTCCTCTTGCCTTTATTCCCGCCTTTCCTCTTGCCTTTCTTCCTGCCTTTCTTAGTGCCTTTCTTCTTGCCTTTCCTCTTGCCTTTCCTCCTGCCTTTCTTCTTGCCTTTCCTCTTGCCTTTCTTCCCGCCTTTCCTCTTGCCTTTCTTCCTGCCTTTCCTCTTGCCTTTCTTCCTGCCTTTCCTCTTGCCTTTTCTCTTGCCTTTCTTCTTGCCTTTCCTCTTGCCTTTCCTCCTGCCTTTCTTCCTGCCTTTTTCTCTTGCCTTTCTTCCTGCCTTTCCTCTTGCCTTTTCTCTTGCCTTTCCTCTTGCCTTTCCTCTTGCCTTTCCTCTTGCCTTTCCTCCTGCCTTTCTTCCTGCCTTTTTCTCTTGCCTTTCTTCCTGCCTTTCCTCTTGCCTTTCTTCCTGCCTTTCCTCTTGCCTTTCCTCTTGCCTTTCCTCTTGCCTTTCCTCCTGCCTTTCCTCTTGCATTTCCTCTAGCCTTTCCTTTAGCCTTTCCTCCTGCCTTCCTCTTGCATTTCCTCTAGCCTTTCTTCCTGCCTTTCCTCTTGCCTTTCTTCCTGCCTTTCCTCTTGCCTTTCCTCCTGCCTTTCTTCCTGCCTTTCTTCCTGCCTTTCTTCCTGCCTTTCCTCTTGCCTTTCTTCCTGCCTTTCTTCCTGCCTTCCCTCTTGCATTTCCTCTAGCCTTTCCTTTAGCCTTTCCTCCTGCCTTTCCTATATTAAACTCCAGATTTTGCCTAGGCAGCGCCGTTAGGCTACTCTTTTCGATTTCCAACTGACAAGGGATTTCTTTGCGTGCACAACAGTACACATGGGCGTCTGATCTTACTACCCAGAGACCACGGAAAATTACTAAAACCCCAGCCTTCACCAGGGCCTGAACCCAGGACCTCCAGCACTCAAGGCAGACACTATACCTGGAGACCACTCAGCCCCCCGAATGGCTTGTAAACAATTGTATGGGCAGCATGGGAAGATTGTATTATGTAACTGATGAAAGACTATAATGGAGTCCTGTACAGAGTTAGACTCTCATGGGTAGCATTTACAACCCAGGAACTGTACTGACTGTAAGGAAGGGGCACCTGTCTCTCTCTCTGAATGCATGAATGAATGAAGAATTAACATCTCTGCACTCAGGACATTCCCACACATGCTCCATCTCCTTCTTCAGCAGCCAGTGAAGAGTTGGCATTCTAACAGTACCAGTTTCAACTTGATTAAAAGTCTGCCACCCCCCCCCTCCCCCACCTTTCCCCCTCCCACCCCAGTGTTGAGTGTCTTCTAGAACCTCTGCCCACCTCTCTTTGAATTGGTGTTTCAGTGTATGAATTCTCTGATCTGTTGCACTGTCCATTTGATCCCAGAGAGCCTTCACCATGACCGCTTTGTCATAAAGTAGGTGACGATGGCCACCTCACATTTGGACTTTATTGTAAAGCAAAACAGTATGCCCAATTTCTCCCATATAGAGTAACTAGCCCTCAGTGCTAGGATATAGATGTATATTATTATCATATTTGCATGTTTGATGTTTTAGTTACAACATGTTTGATGTTTTAGTTATAACGTGTAGTTTGTTTACACACATTTTCATCAGAGATGTCTAAATTTGCATGCATTGTTTGTTATCTGCCTTCGTTTTGTTGTTGTTTGGCATGACTACTGCTGAGGGAACAGACAGACCGGGGGTTGTGTATAAACCGCATGCATGTTGAGAGAAGAATTGTGTATAAACCGCATGCATGTTGAGAGAAGAATTGTGTATAAACCGCATGCACATTGAGAGAAGAATTGTGTATGAACCGCATGCATGTTGAGAGAAAAATTGTGTATAAACCGCATGCACATTGAGAGAAAAATTGTGTATAAACCGCATACACATTGAGAGAAAAATTGTGTATAAATCGCATGCATGTTGAGAGAAAAATTGTGTATAAACCGCATGCATGTTGAGACAAGAATTGTGTATAAACTGCATGCATGTTGAGAGAAGAATTGTGTATAAACCGCATGCATGTTGAGACAAGAATTGTGAATAAACTGCATGCATGTTGAGACAAGAATTGTGAATAAACTGCATGCATGTTGAGACAAGAATTGTGTATAAACTGCATGCATGTTGAGAGAAGAATTGTGTATAAACCGCATGCATGTTGAGACAAGAATTGTGTATAAACCGCATGCATGTTGAGACAAGAATTGTGTATAAACTGCATGCATGTTGAGACAAGAATTGTGTATAAACTGCATGCATGTTGAGAGAAGAATTGTGTATAAACCGCATGCATGTTGAGACAAGAATTGTGTATAAACCGCATGCATGTTGAGACAAGAATTGTGTATAAACTGCATGCATGTTGAGAGAAGAATTGTGTATAAACCGCATGCATGTTGAGAGAAGAATTGTGTATAAACCGCATGCATGTTGAGACAAGAATTGTGTATAAACTGCATGCATGTTGAGAGAAGAATTGTGTATAAACCGCATGCATGTTGAGAGAAGAATTGTGTATAAACCGCATGCATGTTGAGAGAAGAATTGTGTATAAACCGCATGCATGTTGAGACAAGAATTGTGTATAAACCGCATGCATGTTGAGAGAAGAATTGTGTATAAACCGCATGCATGTTGAGAGAAGAATTGTGTATAAACCGCATGCATGTTGAGACAAGAATTGTGTATAAACCGCATGCATGTTGAGAGAAGAATTGTAAATAAACCGCATGCATGTTGAGAGAAGAATTGTGTATAAACCGCATGCATGTTGAGACAAGAATTGTGTATAAACTGCATGCATGTTGAGACAAAAATTGTGTATAAACCGCATGCATGTTGAGAGAAGAATTGTGTATAAACCGCATGCATGTTGAGACAAGAATTGTGTATAAACCGCATGCATGTTGAGACAAGAATTGTATATAAACCGCATGCATGTTGAGACAAGAATTGTGTATAAACCGCATGCATGTTGAGAGAAGAATTGTGTATAAACCGCATGCATGTTGAGACAAGAATTGTGTATAAACCGCATGCATGTTGAGAGAAGAATTGTAAATAAACCGCATGCATGTTGAGAGAAGAATTGTGTATAAACTGCATGCATGTTGAGAGAAGAATTGTGTATAAACCGCATGCATGTTGAGAGAAGAATCAGCCAGTCTTTTATGTGTTGTGCTGACAAACTTTCTCGTCTCTGAGGAGAGCAAGACTAGATTTTAATAATTTTATATTAACTGTTTTGTTTGTAGCAGTCATATTTAGTTGTATCAAGTATGGGTCTGTAATAAGTTTCATCAGTTAATCTTATTCAGGAAGAATACAATGTGTGTCAGAAATTTGCCACTAGATTTTTTAGAAAAGAATATAATATTCTGTATAAACTTTCACTCACAACAGAAAAAAATAATACTTAGTAACCATGGAAATGAGATATCTGAAAAATGCTTACACCAGGAGAGATAAATCAAAAGAGACAAAAGTCAACACAGAACCAGTTCTTAATAACATACACAGGCAGTGAGTGAACCTGTTTGCACACAATTAAAAAGAATGCCTTTTGATACCATACCATACAATTCACACACTTAAAAAAGAAGTGGACCTAGGCCAAGAGGTAGACCTAGAACAGGATGGAACGATAACATCATAAAAACTCTACAATCTATGGGAATGGCCAGTAGAAAGCAGAATCTTGCATCTCCCTGAACGCCCAAAGCAGTGAAAGAGGAAATGAAAAAGAAATCTCTCTCTAGATGTGTTTGGGAAGAATATTATACTTGTGTGTGTGCACGTGTGCGTGTGTGTATGTCAGTGTGTATGTATGTATGTATGTATGTATGTGTGTGTGTGTATATATATATATATATATATATATATATATATATATATATATATATATATATATATATATATATATATATATATATAATCTCCTAAAATTCTTACCACGTAATGGACTGGTTGGTATAAGCAACACCACAATGTTGACTACATCACCCACCTAGGGCCCATTGCTCTATAAACATTTGAGTTGGGCAGTATATACCTGACTGGGCAAAAAGAGTCTTTACATTTTTCTTTACAAAATAAAGTTTGTATATTATTAACTTCCTGGGACAGAATGAATGAATAGATTTGTTATGATTATAGATTATGAAACATAGTCAGACAAATAATTTATGTTATTAAAACAGTTTGAGTTGATTAAAAGCACTGAGTAAGATAACTAAAAGGGGGCACTTTATCATTTTTTACCATATTACATGAAGAGAAAAACTGGGACATATGACAGTTAGTAAAGGTCTTTTTTCCATGCCTTTAGGCGTATAGGGCTATATTTTTATAGACAAATCAGCACAAGATGGGTGATGTGGTCAGCGTCACGCCGGCTGCCTTTTACTTACAGGGACTGCGTCTGGTACCCACTCAAGGCTGGGTCGACCTGGGAGTCAAGGTCATTTTTGTTTTAAAGTCAGGCTCCGCCAGGGAGCAAACCCATGACCTTCCGATCCACATGGGATCGTCTAGCAGCAACCACTCCCCCATGCAACATATTACAGTTGAAAAAATTAATTAATTTGAATTTTTTTTTTAAATTAAAAGAAGATGATGAAAAAGATTCTTAATAACATCTCATGAAATAGAATAGGCACATAAAGTGATAGACGGTTGGTTTCCCCAGCAGGGTTTGATACATGATGATAATGGTGGTATGAGAATTGTGTTTTGCAGAGGCCAGGCTTAAGATTAACTTGCTGCTTGTATTGCATGAACAGCTAGTCTGGATTCTTGTGCAGATCTGCTAATTTTGTTGTGTAGTGGTGTTGTTTTTGTTGTTCAGACTACCTTCTTATGCCATGCATGACTTGATGTTGATTTCATTGTGCAATGTTTCACACTGCAGAGCTTGGGTTATTTTGGTGATAACTAGGTTTTTCTTTTTTTTGTTCTTCCTTTTTTTTTTTTTTTTTTGGTCCTTTTCCCTCCCTCCCTTTTCCCTTTTGATCTTATCCACATCTGCCTGACTTCATGGGGACAGTGTTATTTGATCATCCACCAGAGTGGATAGTAGGTGACAAGACGCAGCTTCCGCTGAAGATGTTCCCCAATAAGGACACCAGGCGGCTGGTGCTCAGTGATGAGGATCATACCACCAAGTCGGAGGGAGACTGCAAACGCCTTAATACACTCAGCCATTACAAGGTGAGTCTTCTCTCTCTCTCTCTCTCTCTCTCTCTCTCTCTCTCTCTCTCTCTCTCTCTCTCTCTCTCTCTCTCTCTCTCTCTCTCTCTCTCTCTCTCTCTCTCTCTCTCTCTCTCTCTTCTTGTTATAATTCGTTCATCTTATTATGTTGTTTGTCCATCACAAGAGATGAGGACCATTCTTTATTTCATTCATCACGAAACTGTAGTTGAGTTCTGTGAGTCCGGATGTGACTTATAAGCCCAATACAGGCCAGGAAAATCTAGGACAATGAGGGCAGGGAACAGTGTCCATAGGTAAGGGGGAGGGGGGGGGGGGGGGGGGGGGCTGTTGTACAGGCCTTTTAAGCCTGCCGGTACTGCTCAGCTGCCCTTTTTCTTGAAGCCTCACAGGCTACTGCCCCTCTTCAAATAGACGTTTACCATGTAGCCCGGTCTTGTGCATCAGCCTCCCCAGCATCAGGGTCTCAAAAACTGTCAAATACGACAGTATCCGGGACCCTCTCTTGCCACTTGATCTTCAGTGTTTTTCTTCAGACAGACTGTATGGAAGTGGTTGATCTCTTTGCATGTATGCAGTCCATGTTTCACAAGCATACACGCATAATCTTCAAGAGGACCCATTTCCGTGCCTTCAGTTATATCGGGATGGACCTGTATTTGATTGACCAATGAGCACTCTGTGGATGATGTGTGGTTAACATCACGCCGGCGCCTTTACTTCCCAGGACTTTACCTAGTACCCATTTAAAGCTGAGTCAACCTGGAAGCCAAGGTCTTTTTTTTTTTCACCAAAGTCCAGCTTCATTCAGATTTGACCCTGTGACCTTCGGATCTCCTGGCGAGCGTCCAGCTGCTACACCACAGCAGCTCCGTAATTATTCTCATTAGTTTTTTTCTAGTAAAGTCACATCTGTGACAGCACAGTAAAGTCACATCTGACTGACAGCACAGTAAAGTCACATCTGACTGACAGCACAGTAAAGTCACATCTGTCAGTGACAGCACAGTAAAGTCACATCTGGCTGTGACAGCACAGTAAAGTCACATCTGGCTGTGACAGCACGGTAAAGTCACATCTGGCTGTGACAGCACAGTAAAGTCACATCTGTCTGTGACAGCATAGTAAAGTCACATCTGGCTGTGACAGCACAGTAAAGTCACATCTGGCTGTGACAGCACAGTAAAGTCACATCCGGCTGTGACAGCACAGTAAAGTCACATCCGGCTGTGACAGCACAGTAAAGTCACATCTGGCTGTGACAGCACAGTAAAGTCACATCCGGCTGTGACAGCACAGTAAAGTCACATCTGGCTGTGACAGCACAGTAAAGTCACATCTGGCTGTGACAGCACAGTAAAGTCACATCTGGCTGTGACAGCACAGTAAAGTCACGTCTGACTGGCAGCACAGTAAAGTCACATCTGGCTGTGACAGTGCAGTAAAGTCACATCTGACTGTGACAGCACAGTAAAGTCACATCTGGCTGTGACAGTGCAGTAAAGTCACATCTGACTGTGACAGCACTTTAGTGGATTATTATTAGTGCTGTAATGAGCGAGAAAGAGGAAAGAGAGAAACTATAATTGTTGCTATGGTATTTATTTTTATTTTTAAATGGAAAAACATTTACTTATTTTTTGGGGGTTAAAAAAATGTGTCTATGTTCAGTACATTTCTTCATAAATACATTAAGCTTTCTACACTTTCTCAGATATTTGTAAAATTATCTTTATGTATGTTTTACATGTTGTATGTATTTTTTAAGTAAGTCTTGTTTTGACCGCAGTAATGATAGGAAGCATAAATACGCATATGCAGTATGTTTAGGTTAGTTGCGTATCCTTTACAGGACGTTGCAGAACCAACCCTAACAACCCCTGGCTGTTGTGTGGTTTTTCTAGGCAAATGTACGTCCAGTAGTTTGCCATTGCTGTCTGTTTATGTGGCTCATCAACTAGCTGTTTGCTTTTTTTTTAATCCACTGTTGAAATCTTGTTTGATGCTGCGTGTGAGTGATTTAAAATGAGTGCAAAAATAAATAGTTGTTTCAGAATTTCAGAATTTCTGCATTGTGAATTGAATTTTCTGAAGTTTCACTTTCACTCACTTATGACACTGTGGCAAAAATCACACACAAACACACAAATTGTGTGCTATCCAAAACAAAAGACGGTTGCTGTCCTCTGGAATTGTGCTTTTGCACAATAATGCTTGACTTCACATTGCAGATGGAACTGTTCGCTGGGAAATTTTTTTGACCATACGCCCTACAGCCCCAATTTGACACCAGGTGATAACCACCTTTTCGTGCACCTCAAGAGGTGGCTAGCATCCCAGCAGTTTGAAACTGATGATGAACTGCAGACAGGCCTTAATAAATCGTTCTAGACACTGGCAGCAGACTTCTATGACATTAGAATTAAAAACCTGGTGCCACGATACCAAAAAAAATGTTGTTCACTTTTAGCTGTAATAAATCATTTTTATATATGATGGGTTTAAAAAAAAATTTACTGGGACTGATTTAAAAATGTGCGTGTGTGTGTGCACACACACACGGCGCGCGCACACACACACACACTATCTCTCACTCACTCACTCACTCACTCTCTCTATCTCTCTCACTCACTCACTCACTCACTCACTCACTCACTCACTCACTCACTCACTCTCACTCTCTCACTCACTCTCTCTCACTCTCACTCACTCTCACTCACTCTCTCACTCACTCTCCCTCTCACTCTCTCACTCACTCTCTCACTCACTCTCTCACTCTCACTCACTCACACTCTCTCTCTCTCTCTCTCACTCACTCACTCTCTCACTCACTCTCACTCTCTCTCACTCACTCACTCACTCACTCACTCACTCACTCACTCACTCACTCACTCACTCACTCACTCACTCACTCACTCACTCACTCACTCACTCACTCACTCTCTCACTCACTCTCTCACTCACTCTCTCTCTCTCTCTCACTCTCACTCACTCTCTCTCACTCTCTCTTACTCACTCACTCACTCACTCACTCACTCACTCACTCACTCACTCACTCACTCACTCACTCACTCACTCACTCACTCACTCACTCACTCACTCACTCACTCACTCACTCACTCACTCACTCACTCTCTCACTCACTCTCTCTCTCTCTCTCTCTCACTCACTCTCTCTCACTCTCTCTTACTCACTTACTCACTCACTCACTCACTCACTCACTTTGTTTCCTCAGATGCATTCTATATGTTTCTGTGTATTTCTCTAGGTGCCTGATGGAGCATATGTTGCTCTTCACCCAAAACAAACGTCCATCTACAACATGAGTATCATGTCTGAGAAATCTAAATTTAGTGGTAAGTATGGACTTTGTGAACATCAATTGGCATGTATTAAAGAGAGATAAATAAACTGTCAGCACTAACCAAAGTTAGGCTTCCTTCCATCATTTTGTCTACAGCCGAAAAAAGACTGTTCCTCTTAGGCATGTTGTAACAAATAATGGCAGAAATTAAATAGATATTTTATTTGTATTTTTTCCGAAATACAAAAAGAGAATTGGCTGATTAAAAACAAGAAACAGTTGTGAAAAACATGGAAAAATATTAACATCAGTGCAGATAAATTGCCTTGAAAGCAGTCGTCTCCAACCGGGGGGGGGGGGGGGGGGGTTACAAAAAAAGGAGTACATTTGTGCTTGTAATAATCCGTTGTAAAAACATTTAACTACAGCTGTATTTTTAAAACAAAAAGCCAAAGGTGTTTTTGTTTGCATGAGCAGTTTGTACCTCTATTGTTTAAAATCTAAATTAATGTGAAACACCCGCATTTAAGTGTAGATTAAGAACACATTCCTCCTCTTTTTGATCCCATTTTGTTATGTCGGTGGGGAGGGAGGGGTGGCACTGAGGCCATATACTCAAGGGAGTGCGAGGGTCTTGCCATATATTCAAGGGGAGCGCTACGCTGCTTTAAAGCCTTTTTTTTAAGGGCGGTTACGGGCGTAAGACCAAGGACATGCGAATGCTTGGGCAGTCGCCATGAAGTGGGCTAGTTAGAACGCTTATTTTGCCTAATTTGTAACCCTTTGAAAATAAAGTTCCTTTGTTCGTTGCAACAGAAAGGAAAATATCCATTCTGTACAGAGGATCAACCTTTTCTCTTCCTGGGAAAGCTCACCCGGACAACAAATGTCTGCAGATGTGTTATCCAAAATGTGTAAATATTGCAGCCATATTGTAAATGGGCCCAACACATTTACGTTTTTAGATAAACACGGAAGAAGAAGAACCTTTTTGCATGCAGAAGAGCTCAGTGTTGTAACGACTCGACCAGCAACTACCCCTAGAGATGAACAACTCTTGAGCTGTTTGAAAATTGTGTCACTTGTTATCTGTACACAGATTATCTGTCTTAGGGTGTTTGTGTGTGTTTTTAAAACACAGATGATCATTTGGATTCCTTTTTTCTTTCTAAAATATGTGTGAAGTCTTTTATAGAAACATTTAAAATCCCTCTGTTTATCAGCATCTACCATGAATATAGTAACATTAAAAAAGTCAAGATCCCTTTTTACACCTTTAGGCGCATTGGGCATATAGAAAGAGCGCCCATATTTTTACAGACCAATCGGCACTAGGTGGGTAATGTGGTCAGCATTACGTCGACCATCTTTACTTCTAAGGACAACCATCCTGGTACCCATTTTAGGCTGGGTCGTCCTGTGACGTCCTATACCATGATTAAATTCCATGCAGCCAGCAGTGGGTTTTGATTGCGGTACGCTGGCATTACGAGTCGGGCTCGCAACGCCTAAGCCACAGACGCTGCACCATGAATATATTTTATCTGATAATACACATGTTCCTGGGGAAACCGGCCGGAATCATTTTCACCCTCCTGTTGTATATCACATAGGGCTCACAGTCTATTCCCCTGTTCCATAGTATTCTACAAAGTCCTTTTGATATCTTGAATGGAACACAGTCCAGCACCTCACCAACATTCATTTAAGGGTTTCTTTCGAAAATCTTTATTGCATTTATTGCAGTCCCTGGGAAGGCCTTGCATTTATTGCAGTCCCTGGGAAGGCCTTGCATTTATTGCAGTCCCTGGGAAGGCCTTGCATTTATTGCAGTCCCTGGGAAGGCCTTGCATTTATTGCAGTCCCTGGGAAGGCCTTGCATTTATTGCAGTCCCTGGGAAGGCCTTGCATTTATTGCAGTCCCCTGGGAAGGCCTTGCATTTATTGCAGTCCCTGGGAAGGCCTTGCATTTATTGCAGTCCCTGGGAAGGCCTTGCATTTATTGCAGTCCCTGGGAAGGCCTTGCATTTATTGCAGTCCCAGGGAAGGCCTTGCATTTATTGCAGTCCCTGGGAAGGCCTTGCATTTATTGCAGTCCCTGGGAAGGCCTTGCATTTATTGCAGTCCCTGGGAAGGCCATGCATTTATTGCAGTCCCTGGGAAGGCCATGCATTTATTGCAGTCCCTGGGAAGGCCTTGCATTTATTGCAGTCCCTGGGAAGGCCTTGCATTTATTGCAGTCCCTGGGAAGGCCTTGCATTTATTGCAGTCCCTGGGAAGGCCTTGCATTTATTGCAGTCCCTGGGAAGGCCTTGCATTTATTGCAGTCCCTGGGAAGGCCATGCTGTAAGTGGGAACAACACAATTACTTCTTCGGATGAGCGCAGAAGAAGACATGTATCTGTTCATTTCCCAGTTGTTTAGTGACTCTCTGCTTGCTTCTACTTTGAAAAAAGCAACCTTCTTTGTCTTATAACTGTTAATACCATTGGTAGTTGAGACATTTCTTTTATTTCTTCACATTTCTCAAATGTATCCTATTAAAAGTGCATCAGTTTCCATTAGCATTAGTTTTCATATGCATTTTGCATTCATAAGAATCTGGGATAGGACTTTACGGAAACAGTGAATGTAGCAAGAAACTAAGAGACTTTCTAGCATGACATATTTTATAAAAGACTTGATGTTAGATATTCAGTGAACCGTTATAAAATAATTGTTGTTTTTGTTTGCAGATAATTCATTTTACAACAGAAGTCCATCCTTAAATAGAAGTTTAAGCCCTCCAAATGTACATATAGATGTCGAGGGGTGCAAGTTCTATCATCTAGTAAGTACATGTTCCCAACTTATCATTATCTGGGTAATCAACAGGTAATCAACGTACACTCACCTACTTGGCCTTCATATCACATCATAACCATAGTGTGCTCCTATATTACTGTTAAACGGTTGAACTTTGTGGAATTTGCTCCTGTTTGACTCTTATCCATGTGGCTGATGTTCAACACTCACGGGAAAGACTGTAACTAGTACCATCAGAATTAGACCTCTTTGCTTGCTGCTGAAGAATAGGGGGGGGGGGGGGGCCGCATTTATGTCAGTGTCCCGAGTGCTGTGATGTCAGGTTGTATAAATTCATCATTTTTATGCTTGTGATGTAAGTCCTACAGGCAAAAGTCCTTGAGAAGAATTATTTGTTTTTCCATTTCATTTTAAATAGGAATAATATTAACTTGCTTACTTGAAAAGATATCAGTCGAAATGAGAAATAGAGCTAATCAGCTTCACTTACTCGCATTCACAAACTCGACAAATGAGCGTTGCAGCAAGAAGACCTTCATCAGCATGTGACACAAACATTTTACCGTTTATCTTCAGATAAGATAATAATGAAGCGTATTATTGTCAGCTGAGATAGTTTTAACAATGTTAGTCAGCCTAGATAATCGTCTTCTTCTTTTTCATGTTCATAGGCTGTAAACTTCAGTGGAAAGTTCTGGGTGTTTGTCCACCTCAGGACTTAAGTCTTGTTTCAGAACCTGAGTGTTGGATGCACATCCATTTTACAGATCTGACTTTTTTGTATGCAGACTGTTGGTTTCTTGCCTCTGTAGCAGATGCTGTCTAACTCCAAAGAAAGCTCCCAATTAGTTCACTTTTACAACATATTTGTTGGGGAGGCAGTGGGTCTATTCTTGTTTCCCCCACAAAGGGGCCCCGGAACCCACACAGGGAAGCTTAAGTAATACATTCACAGTTTTCTGTTAATTTAGATAATACATTCCACAGTTTTCTGTTAATTTAGATAATACATTCACAGTTTTCTGTTAATTTAGATAATACATTCACAGTTTTCTGTTAATTTAGATAATACATTCCACAGTTTTTTGTTAATTTAGATAATACATTCACAGTTTTCTGTTAATTTAGATAATACATTCACAGTTTTCTGTTAATTTAGATAATACATTCCACAGTTTTTTGTTAATTTAGATAATACATTCACAGTTTTCTGTTAATTTAGATAATACATTCACAGTTTTCTGTTAATTTAGATAATACATTCCACAGTTTTTTGTTAATTTAGATAATACATTCACAGTTTTCTGTTAATTTAGATAATACATTCACAGTTTTCTGTTAATTTAGATAATACATTCACAGTTTTCTGTTAATTTAGATAATACATTCACAGTTTTCTATTAATTTAGATAATACATTCACAGTTTTCTATTAATTTAGAATATAATTCACAGTTTTCTGTTAATTTAGATAATACATTCCACAGTTTTTTGTTAATTTAAATAATACATTCACAGTTTTCTATTAATTTAGAATATAATTCACAGTTTTCTGTTAATTTAAATAATACATTCACAGTTTTCTGTTAATTTAGATAATACATTCCACACAGTTTTTTGTTAATTTAGATAATACATTCACAGTTTTCTATTAATTTAGATAATACATTCACAGTTTTCTATTAATTTAGATAATACATTCACAGTTTTCTGTTAATTTAGATAATACATTCCACAGTTTTTTGTTAATTTAGATAATACATTCACAGTTTTCTGTTAATTTAGATAATACATTCACAGTTTTCTGTTAATTTAGATAATACATTCCACAGTTTTTTGTTAATTTAGATAATACATTCACAGTTTTCTGTTAATTTAGATAATACATTCACAGTTTTCTGTTAATTTAGATAATACATTCCACAGTTTTTTGTTAATTTAGATAATACATTCACAGTTTTCTGTTAATTTAGATAATACATTCACAGTTTTCTGTTAATTTAGATAATACATTCACAGTTTTCTGTTAATTTAGATAATACATTCACAGTTTTCTATTAATTTAGATAATACATTCACAGTTTTCTATTAATTTAGAATATAATTCACAGTTTTCTGTTAATTTAGATAATACATTCCACAGTTTTTTGTTAATTTAAATAATACATTCACAGTTTTCTATTAATTTAGAATATAATTCACAGTTTTCTGTTAATTTAAATAATACATTCACAGTTTTCTGTTAATTTAGATAATACATTCCACAGTTTTTTGTTAATTTAGATAATACATTCACAGTTTTCTGTTAATTTAGATAATACATTCACAGTTTTCTGTTAATTTAGATAATACATTCACAGTTTTCTGTTAATTTAGATAATACATTCACAGTTTTCTATTAATTTAGATAATACATTCACAGTTTTCTATTAATTTAGAATATAATTCACAGTTTTCTGTTAATTTAGATAATACATTCACAGTTTTCTGTTAATTTAGATAATACATTCCACAGTTTTTTGTTAATTTAGATAATACATTCACAGTTTTCTGTTAATTTAGATAATACATTCACAGTTTTCTGTTAATTTAGATAATACATTCCACAGTTTTTTGTTAATTTAGATAATACATTCACAGTTTTCTGTTAATTTAGATAATACATTCACAGTTTTCTGTTAATTTAGATAATACATTCCACAGTTTTTTGTTAATTTAGATAATACATTCACAGTTTTCTGTTAATTTAGATAATACATTCACAGTTTTCTGTTAATTTAGATAATACATTCACAGTTTTCTGTTAATTTAGATAATACATTCACAGTTTTCTATTAATTTAGATAATACATTCACAGTTTTCTATTAATTTATAATATAATTCACAGTTTTCTGTTAATTTAGATAATACATTCCACAGTTTTTTGTTAATTTAAATAATACATTCACAGTTTTCTATTAATTTAGAATATAATTCACAGTTTTCTGTTAATTTAAATAATACATTCACAGTTTTCTGTTAATTTAGATAATACATTCCACAGTTTTTTGTTAATTTAGATAATACATTCACAGTTTTCTATTAATTTAGATAATACATTCACAGTTTTCTATTAATTTAGATAATACATTCACAGTTTTCTGTTAATTTAGATAATACATTCCACAGTTTTTTGTTAATTTAGATAATACATTCACAGTTTTCTGTTAATTTAGATAATACATTCACAGTTTTCTGTTAATTTAGATAATACATTCCACAGTTTTTTGTTAATTTAGATAATACATTCACAGTTTTCTGTTAATTTAGATAATACATTCACAGTTTTCTGTTAATTTAGATAATACATTCCACAGTTTTTTGTTAATTTAGATAATACATTCACAGTTTTCTGTTAATTTAGATAATACATTCACAGTTTTCTGTTAATTTAGATAATACATTCACAGTTTTCTGTTAATTTAGATAATACATTCACAGTTTTCTATTAATTTAGATAATACATTCACAGTTTTCTATTAATTTAGAATATAATTCACAGTTTTCTGTTAATTTAGATAATACATTCCACAGTTTTTTGTTAATTTAAATAATACATTCACAGTTTTCTATTAATTTAGAATATAATTCACAGTTTTCTGTTAATTTAAATAATACATTCACAGTTTTCTGTTAATTTAGATAATACATTCCACAGTTTTTTGTTAATTTAGATAATACATTCACAGTTTTCTGTTAATTTAGATAATACATTCACAGTTTTCTATTAATTTAGATAATACATTCACAGTTTTCTGTTAATTTAGATAATACATTCACAGTTTTCTATTAATTTAGATAATACATTCACAGTTTTCTATTAATTTAGAATATAATTCACAGTTTTCTGTTAATTTAGATAATACATTCCACAGTTTTTTGTTAATTTAAATAATACATTCACAGTTTTCTATTAATTTAGAATATAATTCACAGTTTTCTGTTAATTTAAATAATACATTCACAGTTTTCTGTTAATTTAGATAATACATTCCACAGTTTTTTGTTAATTTAAATAATACATTCACAGTTTTCTATTAATTTAGAATATAATTCACAGTTTTCTGTTAATTTAGATAATACATTCCACAGTTTTTTGTTAATTTAAATAATACATTCACAGTTTTCTATTAATTTAGAATATAATTCACAGTTTTCTGTTAATTTAGATAATACATTCACAGTTTTCTGTTAATTTAGATAATACATTCCACAGTTTTTTGTTAATTTAGATAATACATTCACAGTTTTCTGTTAATTTAGATAATACATTCACAGTTTTCTGTTAATTTAGATAATACATTCACAGTTTTCTGTTAATTTAGATAATACATTCACAGTTTTCTATTAATTTAGATAATACATTCACAGTTTTCTATTAATTTAGAATATAATTCACAGTTTTCTGTTAATTTAGATAATACATTCCACAGTTTTTTGTTAATTTAAATAATACATTCACAGTTTTCTATTAATTTAGAATATAATTCACAGTTTTCTGTTAATTTAAATAATACATTCACAGTTTTCTGTTAATTTAGATAATACATTCCACAGTTTTTTGTTAATTTAGATAATACATTCACAGTTTTCTGTTAATTTAGATAATACATTCACAGTTTTCTATTAATTTAGATAATACATTCACAGTTTTCTGTTAATTTAGATAATACATTCACAGTTTTCTATTAATTTAGATAATACATTCACAGTTTTCTATTAATTTAGAATATAATTCACAGTTTTCTGTTAATTTAGATAATACATTCCACAGTTTTTTGTTAATTTAAATAATACATTCACAGTTTTCTATTAATTTAGAATATAATTCACAGTTTTCTGTTAATTTAAATAATACATTCACAGTTTTCTGTTAATTTAGATAATACATTCCACAGTTTTTTGTTAATTTAAATAATACATTCACAGTTTTCTATTAATTTAGAATATAATTCACAGTTTTCTGTTAATTTAGATAATACATTCCACAGTTTTTTGTTAATTTAAATAATACATTCACAGTTTTCTATTAATTTAGAATATAATTCACAGTTTTCTGTTAATTTAAATAATACATTCACAGTTTTCTGTTAATTTAGATAATACATTCACAGTTTTCTGTTAATTTAGATAATACATTCACAGTTTTCTGTTAATTTAGATAATATATTCAAAGTTTTCTATTAATTTAGATAATACATTCACAGTTTTCTATTAATTTAGATAATACATTCACAGTTTTTTTTATTAGCTGAGATAATACATTCACTGATTAGCATCAGCTGAGATCATGTGTTCATGGGTTATCATGAACTCACTTGAAACATTCACAGTTGTGGATTAGTTGAGATAACACATTCACAGTTGTGTATTAGTTGAGATAACACATTCACAGTTGTGTATTAGTTGAGATAACACATTCACAGTTGTGTATTAGTTGAGATAACACATTCACAGTTGTGTATTAGTTGAGATAACACATTCACAGTTGTGTATCAGTTGAGATAACACATTCACAGTTGTGTATCAGTTGAGATAACACATTCACAGTTGTGTATTAGTTGAGATAACACATTCACAGTTGTGTATTAGTTGAGATAACACATTCACAGTAGTGTATTAGTTGAGATAACACATTCACAGTTGTGTATCAGTTGAGATAACCCATTCACAGTTGTGTATCAGTTGAGATAACACATTCACAGTTGTGTATCAGTTGAGATAACACATTCACAGTTGTGTATTAGTTGAGATAACACATTCACTGATTTAGCATCCACCGAGATTATAAGTTTACATGTTTGCCTCAGTTTTGTTGCTAAAGTTGTAACACTATACAAGGTCTCCTCGACTATCAACTGAGTTCCATTCCGACTAACAAGTCATAATACGAATTGGTCAAAACTGTTTTTATTCAAATGCATATATATTATTAAAATTGTTTATTAAAAAAATAAAAATTATATAATTGTACATAATGTGAAAAATGCAAAATAAGTTCTCTGCTGCATAATCCGGAAACTTCTTAATCCTACCAATATAGTTATCTTTATTCATTTATTTCGTTTTTGTGTGTGTGTGGTGATGGTAAGGGCGAAGGGTGATAAGTCACATAGACTTAAGTCAGGGAGAAAGTGTATATGTTTGACAACTATAGAGACTGTCACTTTCTATGATACAGGTTCGTCATCAAGATGTGGAGTCGAACAACAAGGAAGGGGACAGGGGTAGCAAGATGGTCTCTGAGATTTATCTCCCTCGGTTACTTGTTACCAAGGTATGTTTTTCTGTACTTTTGTGCTGATTCAGTGTATTCTGATAATGTATGATATGTATTAATATCAGTGCCTACTGAAGATGGATATGGCAGAGAAATGTGTTTGTTGACCTGTTAAAGTTGAATGAATGCAGTAGTAATTAAAGCAGTGCTGTCCTGATCGACATATCTCTATTATAGTTTGGATATTTAAAGTTTTCCTGTTTCAGTATTGAAAATTTTTGCTTATCAGTTTCTTTTGGTTATTGAATGTAGCATGATTGTTTTTTTTTAACGTATACAACAGGGAGATGAATGGTAGTAGACCACGAGGGAGACCAAGAAGACGATGGAGAGATAGTATCCAGAAAAACCTGCAAACACTTCGTGTTACCATCTGGAAAGAGAAGGCCAGCCAGAGAGATGAATCTTTTCATTTTTTTTTTTTACTTACTGGATATTATCTCTCCATTGTCTGCTTGGTCTGCCTCGTGGTCTACAATCATTCAACTCCTTTATGTACAGATTTACCTCCTTGTAATCTGACATTCTCTCAATATGCCCCAGCCATTCCAGTCTGTGAGTTGTCAGGATGGACCCAATCCTCCAGGTTGAGGACTGAAGTGTGGAGCCGATTCCGCGACCTTTGTCAAACTTTCTTTCATCATGAAACTGATGTCTAAGCCTCGATTTCAGATGGATTTAAACAGACAATGAAACTGGAACATTAAAATACTTTTAAGATATAGTGTATAATGTCTTTGGGAAATTTAAAGTGAACGTTTAAAATTAAGTGAATCTTCATTGACCATGAATATTCATGAACCTTTTACGGTTAAGTGAATGCTTCTTTAACTACTAATGTTGAGCATTCTAGGTTGCAGATACAGTTTGATGTGTCCACCTTAACTACTAATGTTGAGCATTCTAGGTTGCAGATACAGTTTGATGTGTCCACCTTAACTACTAATGTTGAGCATTCTAGGTTGCAGATACAGTTTGATGTATCCACCTTAACTACTAATGTTGAGCATTCTAGGTTGCAGATACAGTTTGATGTGTCCACCTTAACTACTAATGTTGAGCATTCTAGGTAGCAGATACAGTTTGATGTGTCCACCTTAACTGTTGCCGTGAAATGTTTACTTTCTGTTTCAGGGAACACTGCAGACATTTGTGGATGATCTCTTTGAGCGGATCTTCAGTACAGCCCACAGGGGCATAGCCCTGCCTCTAGCCATCAAGTATATGTTTGACTTCCTGGACGACCAGGCCCTCCACCACAGCATGGGCGATGAGGTGGTGCATATCTGGAAATCCAACAGGTAAATTAAGGCTTCAGTTTCTGTCTCATTTGGGCAGTGAGCTACTTTTGGTATTAACAAGTAACTTAAAACAAGTTATGAATAAGAAAATCCCCTGATTATGCTGATCAGTTCCGTGAACATCTCTTGGATGTTGAAAAGTAGTTGTGATCATTCCCTGTCCATTTCATTAGGTCTGACCATGATAGCAAATATTTCTGTCACTGCCATAAAATCTTGCTCTAGTAATCAAGCCACATTTCTCTTTGGAAAAAGGATTTTTTTCATAGCTTTCTGAGCCCAGCAAGTATGTTCAACAGACCTTCATCTAAAGCATCTAATCAACGAATGGTGAACATCTTGGTATTAAAATGATTTAAATATCTCAATTACTGAACAAGATTATGTTGTCTCATCTGGTAGTTCACGGGTTAAAGATACATAATGTTGACGGGCCATTATATTTTTTAGTAATATCTATGTATATTTTTGTTCATAAGTTAAAAAGATTTTTGTTCAATTATTATTATGTTTATATATATGTGTGTATGTGTATACATAAATGTGTGTGTGAGAGAGAGAAGAGAAGAGAATATTAATTATCAGTGTAGTAATAAATATTGATTCCCATGGATCAGGAAAACTCATTATAATCCAGTGATAACCCAGATTGGTTGACCAGGATAGCCTTGTTTAAAATACAACTAATAATATACACGTCTGTCTCTGCAGTCTTCCTTTGCGGTTCTGGGTCAACGTGATAAAGAACCCCAATTTTGCCTTTGACATCTACAAGTCCAACATTGTGGATGCATGTCTGACTGTGATAGGGCAGACCTTCATGGACAGCTGCTCCACGCTGGAGCACAAACTAACCAAGGACTCCCCCTCGGGTAAACTCCTGTATGCCAAAGACATCCCTAAGTACAAGCAGTGGGTAGCCAGGTGAGTTGTGCTCTTATTTCTGTGTTAGTGAATTCTCCGACTTGGTGAAAGTTCTTATAAAAACCAAACTGTATGGAACAAATCAAAAGGCAAGCACGCAAGAGGCAGACAGTGAAACAAATGGGAGGATAACATCAGGAGATGGATGAACAGTAAGCTGAGAGAGTTTACATGCAGTATGAAAGACAGAGTGAGTTGGAAATCCATTGCAGCCAACCTTTATTTCTGATGACTGAGCTGACATTCTCAGTGCTCTCAAGGAGGCAGGTTGAGCAGAGGATTCAGGAGACAGCCTTGAAATCTCCAAGACTCAAAAGACTGCAGAAACTTCAGGTCAAAAGAGGGGTCGCCAAACATGAACACTATACAGGTAGCCAAAGAAGAATAGTAAACCAACACAGAACTGGTGTTATCAGTCGCTACATGCTGGGGGATATACTGAAGAAGGGATCTGAGCGCTTAAGGACTTGTCAGATGTGCAATGAGAATAATCTTTTGATTAACTATTAACTTGTTATTACAGATATGACACCTGAGAGATTGAAAGTTCATGGTCTTGTTGGGTGGTTGGGGGGGGGGGGGGGGGGGGGGGGGGGGGGTGAGCCCAAGAGAAGGATAGAACAAATATATAAAAAGTTTAAAACAGCAATGTTGTGATAGAGATAATTGTCCCTCTAGCTTGTTCATAATTGTTTTTGCTTCTATGCCCTGTACACTGTGCTACCTGGTTACCTCTTTCTTCTGTGCTTTTAACACTATTTAGTCGCTTGCATGTAGATCAGAAGGTAGCGGGTTTGAGTCCTGACAGGAGTCAGACTTTTTTTTAAATGACCTTGGCTGCCAGGTTGACACCTAGTCACCTCTTTCCTATGTGCCCTGTACACCATTGATGCTTTTTTACCTCTTCCTCATTATATAGCCTACACACTAATCCTACCTCTTCCTGAAATTGCTTTTTCTCGTCAAAAGACATACAGAATTTTTCAGGCTTCTGCATTTAACACAACTATAATTCTGTTTGTCGCAGACATATGTAATTTCAAACCACTCTGACCTGGTAATTAATTTAACTCTTGACCCAGACATTGATTACTGAATTGTAGTGTGATGTAAATAGGGAGTGACTGAGTCAAAAGATCATACTTTTAGGGATCATTTCTGAAGGTTGACCTGCCTCGACACGATATATTTTCATTTCATTCGGATTTCGGATTACGGATTTCCATAGTGATTTTTGTGTGGTAAATTTAAAGGATTTAAATACTTTCAAGGATTTGTTCATACCTTACAGGATTGGAGTTAGTAATTTCCCACTGGAGGAAATCATTTCGCCAGGTGATCAGTCTACCAGGTGAAATCAGCTCACTAGTTGGATCCGAGTGAACTATTTTCAATACACCGGACCTTGTCAACGTCAGCTCCAGTGAGCGATTTTCAGTTTTGGGACGCCATCTTTAAAAAAATCCATATTTGAGGAAATAAGATCGCCAAAACTTTAAGAATGTCCGTCGTCAACATTAACGTGGAAGCGAATACGTTCCCAGGTGGATTGCATCGAAAGGGAACCGTATCAATCACCCTTTCTGGGATAGGAGCGGCATCGAAGGCGTCTCCACCGTGGATCACAGCCGCACTGCTAGGTCCCGGTCGAGTGCCATCAGGAGGAGTGGCAAAACTCTATAGATTCCCTAACCCTACAAGGTGGTTCTTAAACCTGACGCAGGTGGCCCATAACCAAGTGTATCACCACCTACATGGGAAAAAGTTCACAATTGAGGGTGTGGATTTCGAATTGCAGCACTGGGATAAGGAGAAAACCCGAATAACAATGGACTATCTCCCGGGGACAGCCACAGAGACCAGCGTGAAGAAAACGGTCACCCTGTTCACAGGGGACCCCAACCCTCAAGTGGCCCTGATGAAGAATGGCGGCGGAAAGTGGGCGGCTCTGGTTAACGCAACCAAGCCGATCCCACATTATGTTAATATTCTCGGGCCGGATATGCTGAACGGCCAACACCAGATACTGGTGAAGGTTCCGGGCAGGCTGACTGAGTGCCTGTATTGTAGCTCAGTAGAGCACTGGGCCAACCGCTGCCCAAACAGGCAAAGACGCCCCCCTCCGACAAAAGAGGTGGTCCGTACAAGCCGAATAAGCGAGGAAGATTTCCCACCACAAACAAGAGCAAGGCACAAGTGGCCAACAAAACAAAAGAATTAGATAACCAATCCCAAATCTCAACCTCATTCTCAACCTCATCTCAGCGTCGCAAACCTACCCAAGTCGACGTCCAGGTCGAGGCGGGCTTGCCACAGCAAGAAACAGTTAACTCAAAGATTTCGGAGGTACATCAGCCCCCTGAGCAAGAATGCCCTCAGATCGAAGAGAAGAGGGCCGAAGCAAACCCGCCACCAGTGGAGCGAGAACATCCTGGAACTACCCCGACGCTCTGTGAGGAAGAACTAAGCACTACTCAAACCGGCCAGAGCGAAGAGACAGATACAGCACCGTTCCAAAAAGTTCTGACTAAAGAAGAGAAAAGAGAAATGGCAAGGAAGAGGAAAGCCGGAGACAGGAGAAGCAGCTCGGGAGACAGCAGCTCCGGAGAAATGAAAGATGAGAAACCCACCAATTCCCAAACACCCAAACGCAGCAATCTTCGAAAAACAGTGTCAAGAAACACAACACCGACAAGCACAAGAGAGGAATTATACACAGAAACATCACCACCGCCCCTTGTCATCAACGACTCGGAATCCCCTTTCACCAGTCCGGGAGAAGGGGGACAAGACCCTGAAGAAGACAATTTCACAAGTTTCTTAGAAAACTGAAGGCAACACTTTCAGTCAAGACATTAAAACACAGTACCTCAACAAGAAACACAACAAGAACACAAAGGATACTTTCAATTTTTCATACTCTTCAATCTGTGCTTATTTATCTTTAAAATTGTTCAACACTGTCATTTATTTTGTAACTTAGGTAATGACAGGTTTAAAAATTGTCAGTGTAAATGTGTCGGGGCTCCGGCACAAACAACACCATGTAGTTTCTCTCATACAGAAACACAAACCTGATCTCCTTCTTTTACAAGAAACAAACATCCAGACACCCTACTTCTTTCAACAGATAGTCACACAGATGGGCCTGAGACATGCGTGTCACAGCCCATCGATACAGCACACAGGATTAGGTACAGCCATACTACTCACATCCGACAACTGGGAAATAACAAACACACACACAGACGACAGGGGGCGCATCTGCATCATAGAGATCACGAACACCACGAAAACATCATATACAATAGTGAACATACATGCACCACCAAACTATGACTATCAACCCACATTCTTCGAACACTTAGAGGACACACTCATGCAGGCACACAGAGGACACAATGTCGTCCTCGCAGGCGATTTTAACTGTGTCCTGGCTCAAGAGGATGTTATTGGTGGGGGGGTAAGGACGCAGGTGAGAAGAGCCGGCGAGGACGGCATGAATCAGCTGGAGACCCTGATTAATATCATAGACATGTTTAACTTAACAGATGCTTACATGGAGAAATACCCGAACAAATCTGAAACCACACACAAAAGCATACCCCACAATAGATCTGCCAGACTAGATAGGACATACATCCCCAAAACGCACCACATCATTACATGCAAACACCTGTCAGAAACACTAGAATTTACAGACCACAAAGCAATACTGACACACATCGAGCCACTAAACACAAACACACAACCTTTCAGACGGTCTCCGCACTGGAAATTCAACAACTCTCTCCTCCAGAATGCGGACTTCACGACTCAAATATCTGCTATTATCCAACTCTATACCGACGACGCACCGGTCGACAACTACCCAGAACACTGGGAGATGCTGAAGAACACGATTAGATCCAGAACACAGCTTCTAGCATCTCTCATACACCGACAGAGACGGGAAACGGAAGAAATTCTACAGACCGCGATTCGAATGACGAAAATGACAGACAGAAACAGCCCACACATATTGACTTTAGAGACAGAGCTAGGACAACACCAACAACATAGATTTCTGGGCGCCTTGCTTAGGACACGCCTTAACACAATCACACAAGAGACGCCCAGCAAACAATATCTAGCAATCGAACAGAACATCCAGCACAATAGACAGATACAACAGATCACAGACACCGAGGGAAACACTCACACGGATCCCTCACAAATCACACAAGCATTCCACAAATACTACGCCGACTTATTTACATCAGAAGCGACCGACGAACAGGAACAGAACCGGTTCCTACGATACGCCAAACGACTGAACGACGCACAACGTGACGCCCTCGACACCCCCCTAACGCTATCAGAAATTACGAATTCCTTATCTGACATGAAGCCTCTCAAATCTCCCGAAAGTGACGGCCTTTCTGCCGAATTTTTCAAATTTTTCTTTCACCTGTTAGGTCCACTCATTCTAAAAGTCTACGAGGAAGCTTTCGCTAAAGGTCAATTTCTTGACGAATTCAATACCTCTTACATCTCCCTAATCCCCAAAGACGGCGTAGACAAAACTCTTCTAAAAAACTATCGTCCTATTTCTCTTCTTAATATTGACTACAAGATTCTCACGAAAACACTCACACGCCGTTTGAAATCACACCTAAGCACACTGATACACCCAGACCAGCAGTGCGGGGTGCCGGGACGGTCAGTCTTCTCACACGCGCATTACATCAGAGACATAATCACTTACACGCACGAGAAAAACTGTCCTGCCTCTCTCCTGTCCTTGGACCAGGAGAAAGCTTTTGACAGAATCTCACACAAATACATGCACGACACCCTCATCGCCAACAACTTCGGGCCTGTGTTCCGAGCCTGGGTGCAGATACTCTACAAAAATCCAAGGAGCCAGGTAATAGTCAACCACACGCTGACCGACACCTTTGCAATCACCAGATCGGTGCGACAAGGGTGTTCGCTGTCACCCCTCCTCTACGTGCTCATGCTGGAACCGCTCCTGGAAGCGGTCAGGCAAGACGCGGATATTCGCGGCACTACGATCCAAGGCATAGGAGAACAGAAAGTCCTAGCTTACGCAGACGACACTGTTTTCCTACCCTCAACAGAGGCTTCCATTGAGAGAATCTTCCACACCTTTAACCGTTTCGGTAAAGGCAGTGGAAGCAAGATAAATGTTGCGAAGTCGCAAATCATGGGCCTTGGACGGTGGAGGGGTCAGGCGGACTTAGCCGGGCTCCGGAACACCCAGGCTCTGAAAATATACGGCTTGACATTCACCAACAATCCCAACGCAATACACACACCAACATGGGAAGACTTGACCAGAACGGCCACCGACATGCTGGAAAGGTACAAGTACAAAACCACAACAATATTTGGTAGGGCAACCGTAGTGAACACCTACATTATGTCAAAAATTATTTTCCCCGCCACGGTGATGGACCCCCCTCCCAGTTTCATTAAAGAGATAAGCAGAAATGTCAGGCGATTTATTTTCAGGTCCACCATCTATTCTATCGCCAATAACACCCTCTATCAGGAGAAGAAGAACGGAGGTATTTACCTCCGCGATTTAGGGAACGCATATTAAAGCCATGCGTATTAAAAGGTTAGGCGAAATTGTGAGAGACCCCCAGAAAAATGGACTGGGGTTATATTATATTGCTTTCAGAGTCCATCACCTTAGAAGAATAGATAATAGCACACCCCATCACTTCGGTGCCCTCCCATCTTACTACAGACACGCCCTGGCAGCACTGCCAGGAAACGAACACCTAATACACGAAACAACACAGACAATTTACAAATCTCTCATCTCTAGACTAGCCCCACCTATTCATCTCCGAATAGCGTGGGGTCGCCCACTAGGCCTCACAGATTATACAAGCTCTTTCTCAAACCTTCACAACAAAAACATCACCGCAAAAGCGAGAGAAGTGACTTTCCGTCTTTTGTTTTCCATGACGCCGACCTCCGAAGGAGAGGCACGCAGGTCTGGAAGGCTAGTCAGATGCCCCCTGTGTAGACAGCGGAAGCAAGAGACGGAGAAGCATTTGTTTTACGATTGCCGGGTGGTCACACGACACATCAACTTCTCAGAGAAACAATAAACAAACACGCAGGCAAACAAACAAATCTTTTCAATGCAATCTTTCTTAACACTGTCCCAGTACGCGATAAACAGTCACACACAAAAAATCTACAAGCTTTAGCACAGTACAGACTACTCGTTTGGACATGTAGAAATTTTGCTAAATACCACTTCAGAACTTACAATCCACATTTATTCTTTCTTATGTTCAAATACAAACTACAACAAATTTTTCCTGAGGCAGCAGATGACACCTAAACTGCCCAACTACACACATTTATTTATTTCAATTTGTTTATAATCTGGTTTCCCTTTTGAGCTCATGCTCATCATCATCATCATAAAACACTTCTGCCGTAAAGCGGCGTGGGGAGAAATGATCTGCCATCCAGTGCACGTTGGCTGCCACTGGCTATTGTTAGAGCAAGCCAGTGACCCCACTCCGCAAGCGAGTGGGGAGAAAGGATCCGATCACTGGCTATGGTCTTCGCCGTCTTGTTTACAAAGGATGCCCTGTGTTCTGACTACCGCCAGAAAGGCAACGAGGTTGTAGATCCAAGCTAACGCCGCCTGGTAGCCATGCCCTCCCCCCCACCCTAGTGTCTTGCGGTCTCGACTATTCCCCTGTCCGTCTGAACTGTGTTTTTTCTGTTCCCTGTCGCTAGTCTAAAGTGTAAACGTATGTATTTTTTCCCGAACTCCCCCAGAAAGGCACATGTCTTTTATAAATATGACACAAGTATCGGGATTATGTATGTTTCCTATAATTCTGCTGGAAGTCAAATGCCTAATATCGAAATGTCTAGTCACTCCCTACGATAACCCTCATGCGCTGCGACTGTTTCTACTGTTTCTCCTTCTAAAAGGTCTTGTGAGTAAAAGTCGCCCCCCCCCCCCCCTCCCCCCCCCCCCAATTTAAGACGAACATTTTTTTTTTTTTTTACTTGAAGCCCTACATCGGTGGCCGCAATATAGCCTGACTGTTACACGCGGTTTCTGTGACCTCGACGGGTGAACCTCACCCACACGGTGACACTTGGTGTCACCGAGTGTTTATCGTCGCCCTGTGTGGTGTTCTGTTGGGTTTAAACTCACCTTAATTAACAGCTTTACAGTCATACCATGGTAAAAGCGCAGACGCTTTGTTTACATTTACCCCTTTTTCTGACTACCGCCAGAAGGACAACGAGGTAACGCCCCCCCCCCCCCCCCCCCCCCCGCGCCCTACCCTTGTTTTCGTATTGACTATTCCCTTGCCCACCTGAACTGTTTTTATTTTTCTTGCTTACGTTTGTCTAATGTAGATAGTGTTTCCCCGAACTCAACTTCCTCACATATTTTTATAAATATAACACAAGTATCGGGTTTGTATATATTTGCAATGTTTTTACTTGAAGCGGAATACTTTAATTTCGCAAAATCTAATGTCATTAATTATGAAATGTAAAAAAAAAAAAAAAAGACTGAGTCAAAACTGATGATAAAAAGTGCTAAGTACAAAATAACATGTATTTAGTCCTGGAGGCATCAGTTTTCAGCACAGCTATATTTAATTCTATTAAGAAAGTTTTTTTGTTTTTTTCAACCTAATTTTATTTCTCCCCCTATTTGTTTTTGTTAAATGCCTTCTTACTTATTTTGTTTCATAAAATAGCCCTATATGTCCATATCTTTGTTCCTCATTATGTATTTTCTGGTTTCATGAAAACCTTGGTTGTTCAAATGTGTTGCTGTCTTGTCATTCAACTTTTCCAATTACAGGTTATGTTAATACTTCATTGATAAGAAAATAGATATGGAAACTTCTGGTTGTATTTGTACGTGTCTTTTCCATTGAACTGTCAAGTCAAATTTTATGGTGTATTTAGCACTTACTGAATTGTGTTTTGTTTGTTAGTTACCACCCGTATTTATATTTCAGGTACTACCAGGATATCAAGATCATGCCAGCCATCAGTGACCAGGATATGACTGCCATGCTGGCGGAGGAGTCCCGGGTACGGACATTGATTATTACATTTATCATTACGCCGCAGGTCTTTTGCAGAACGTCGCTGTCATCACAGCCTGCCTGAAAGAAACTTTGTCTCTCACTAGCTCTTCTGCCTCATGCCCTTTCTTACCCGAGGTATTTCTGATATTTACCCACCTTTATGCTGGCGGGCCCCTGCCCCTCTTTTCCGGTACCATAACCCCCACTAGTATTCTTTTCAATCCATTGTAGTGTTTGATATCATCCTCATCATCTCCATGTGCCCTGCCATCTGCCGTAGGCACTCATGCATCTCCACAGATCAGATTTCCTGGTTGCCTGGAACAGCTCTCTTGATGATATTCCTCCATGCCATTGTTTCAGTCTATCCAGCATCATCTCTCTTGATCTGCCTCTGCCCCTCTTTCCACTGTGTTTCCAGTTGTCACGATGTTTTCCAGTGCCTCTCTTTTCATTATGTGGCCAAGGAACAGTGTTTGCCTCTTCATATTGGTGTATATAGAGATCTGCTTTCATTAGCTCCTTTCCAACAATCATTGTTACTTACCCTGGCCATCCAAAGTATTTGTAACATTTATCTCAGGAACCACATCTTTGTTACTTCCAAATTCTTTTTAATTTTTCACTGACATTCCAAGATTCACTGCCATACAGCACAACAGGTTCTATGTGTTTGATATGGCCAAAGTAATTCTTTTTTTTTTTTTTTTTACATTATGCATCATTAATATGCTTTACAATTTGAGTTGGGTGCGCAGCCTTTCTAGGACATCACAAACCGCCCCAAGATTGATTATTTATTTGGGGTTTTGCTAGACAGTTGACATTTAGTAGTTTGCCATTGCTATATGAAACAGCTGGACATTTGTAAGGGACATTCCATTTGATTTATCATTGGCCAGGAACGAAGCAAGTATGAGTGACTCATTTGCAGTGAAGTTAAAACCCTAAGACTAAGACATCTGGAAATAAGCAGATGAATCTGTAGACGTGTGAAGTTGGTGGTCCACTTCATTTCTTCTTTACGTTCACCAGCTGTAAACTCTGGCGGAAAGTTCTGGTTGTTTATCAACTTCTGGACTTTGATTGTTTTTGTTGTTGTTTTGTGTTTGTTGAGCTTTGCGTGCACATCTATTTTACAGATCTTGCTTATTTGTATGCAGACTGTTAGTTCCTTGCCTCTCAGGCTGAGGCACTCCGACTTCAAATGAAGCTTTACTTGATTATGTAATGTTACTGCTTTATTATCTGCAGACATGTGATGGTGATGCTTGATTATCTACAGACATGTAAAATTGGTGTTTAATTATCTGCAAGCTTGTGAAGATGATGTTTGATTATCTACATTTATGTAAAGTTGATGTTTGATTATCTGCAGACTTGTGAAGATGGTGCTTGATTATCTGCAGACATGTAAAGTTGACGTTTGATGTTCTTTGTTTTCATGCAGACACACCAGAATGAATTCAACACAAATGCTGCCTTGTTGGAGTTGTACAAATATGTAAACAAGCATTATGAAGACGTAAGTAGCTGTCATTTGTGTTATGAGTTATATTTTGGATTATCTTCACAGACTCGGACACATCCATAGGTGCTCAGATTGCCCCTTCATCATATACATCAGCGTCCTGCGTTGATAGTTCCAGTCCGATGTTGGTTGACAAGTCTTCTCATGCGTCTGGTGTGCTTCTCATGCCTCTTATGTGTTTGTATTAGAGAGAGAGAGAGAAAGTAAAAGCAGTTTTGTTTCTTATTCTTCTTCTTGTAAATTAATAGCTAAAGACATTCATGTCTCCTGTTGTTTCAGATTATGAATGCCCTAGAGGATGATGAGTTTGCCAGAAGGAATCGTCTCACCAGCAAGTTGGAGCAAGTTGCGGCTGCCATGGATGGGACCACTGTCTGCTGACCTCTTTTTTAATGCTGAAAGAATGTTCCAGAAACTTAGTGACTTCTGCCGGTTTTGAAGGAATGTTCCAGAAATTAAGTGACTTTCATCTGTTTTGAAGGAATGTTCTAGAAACTTAGTGACTTCTGCCTGTTTAAAGGAAAAAAAGTGACTCTGCTGAAAGAATTCCAGAAATTGAGGGACTTTTCCCTGGACTGAAAGAATATTCTGGAAATTGTGTAACTTCTGTCAGTACTGAAAGGAATGTTCTACAATCTGTTGACTCCAGTCTGTAAGGCACAGTTCCAGAAACTGTGTAACTGCTATGCTGAAAGAATGTTCCAGAAACTGTGTAACTGCTATGCTGAAAGAATGTTCCAGAAACTGTGTAACTGCTATGCTGAAAGAATGTTCCAGAAACTGTGTAACTCATGTGTTGGTGGGAGTCGCCGTGGCCGAGAGGCTAGACACTCGCCACGGATCAGAATGTCGTGGGTTCGCTCCCTGGTGGAGACGGACTTTTCTTCAAAAAATGACCTTGGCTCCCAGGTCGACCCAGCCTTGAGTGGGTACCGGGTGCAATCCCGGGAAGTAGAGGCGGCCGGCGTGATGCTGACCACATCACCCATCTTGTGCCGTTGGTCTATAAAAATATAGGTCTAGCCCTATATGCCCTATACGCCTAAAGGCGTGGAAAGGGTCCTTTACTTTACTTTTTTTACATGTGTTGGTTCTAAACAGTTAACAGAGGTTTTATCTTTTAACTGATGGACCAGATGTGATGAGTGATTATTTGTAATGTTCATTTCAAACTTCAGCGTACACAGATGGACACATACGTATTATGAATGCTCAATGTGTGTAAATGTAACAGTTGTGACTACCTAATGTATGTGACACACGACCATGTTTTATGATTAAATGATTCAGTGCTTGTCTGTGGCATATTATTTGAGAACTGTCTTCAGACGGAGCCTGCTCTAGGATTCCAGCGAAGATAAGTTCATTGTTTTGACTGTCAGGTTTAAAATCCTGGCTCATGGTGCATTTATATACGTCACGCCGCATTTGATCAGTTTGCTTCTGTTGTTTTGATTAGCAATTAGTTGTTATCTCTGAGAGGCCTTTTAATTCACCACATTTCATTTATGTTTGTAACATTGTTTAACTTGTTGACACATCTGGATTCTGATGTTAGGCGGCATCTTTTATTTTTATTTTTAATTGTAACTGAGTAATTCTTCTCCAAAGTGTGAAGTTGACATTTCTGCTGCCTGTTTTTTTTTAATGTATTATAGGTGGGGGAAAATATCAGTGTTGGTGGAGTGACTTGTACATGAATAGTTTACTGCTGCTATTGCTAGGCTTAGATGTTAGTGAATGAGTTTAACAATTTCAAGATCCTTGAGTACTAGGGTACGATTTCCATGGCTGATGGTTTGTTTTTAATAGAAATCATATTCATGGTTTTCCGAGGATGGCACAAAAGTCGCACCATGGGCTAGACTAACCAGCCTTTATAGTGAAGGTATCTCACAAATTGTGTTTTTTAATGTTATTGCAGACTGCAAACTTCAAGTGTTAGACAATCATCCATGAATCCTTGCTACCAAACTGTTTATGAGGTCTTGTTTTCAAACATTTGTTGCTTAAATACTGAACATTTCACTTCACTCTGAAGTACAGGCTATTTTCATTACATTTGGTCAAATGTGTAATAAACCAATGATTGATAGTTACACATAAGTTTTTTTTTTATATAATGAGGAAAAAAAAATTTTTGCAATCATTTGAATTTTCAGATAAGAATATAATGTCTCCTGGAACCTTTGGAAAAAATTGAACATTAAAAAAAGTATATCTGTCTCTCTTTTTTTGTGCATTCCTACCGGCTGTAAGCTCTGGAGGAAAATTCTGGTTGTTTTTCCACTTCTGGAATTTTAGTTTCCAGAACCTGAGTTTTTGCATGCACATGTTTTACAGATCTGGCTGTTTATATGCAGAGTGTTGGTTTATCACCTCTCAGGCACATCCACTACGAGTTTGAAGCAAACACCCTTAATAAGCCTTATGACATGCTTGTTGGAGGTTTGGTGGGTCTATTCTTTGTTCTCCATCTTTTCTCCAGACCATGCCGGCGTGGTGGGTAATGAATAGGCAGACAGACTGGCTGGATTTGCACCATTTGGTGGTGAACTGATACATGACAAGGCAGATGTGGTCAAGGCCCTTGAGGAACAAGCAACGGAATCATTAGCAATTGAAGATTATTATGGCCTGGAAAGAATGAGGCACCTGGGTACCAGAGGGTCTGGCTGGCTCACTACACTCGAGGAAAGGCAAGATGGACTTTTAACCAGATTGTGACCGGTACCATCAGTATTAGAACTCTGCGCTGGCTGCTGAAGATGAGGATGAAGCATGCATGGGAATGCCCCGAGTGCTGTGATGTCAATTCTTGACTCAACTCAACTCTTTGTTTTCCAAAATAAAACCCTGGAACCCACACTGGGAAAATGAGCTTATAATTTGGTCGGCTCTACTTGGAATAACGGTTCTAAATTAACTACGCAGAAAGTTAATCCCAAACAGAGCTTCATTACGTCCTGCCCTACAAACATTTAAAAGCTGTAACTCGGGAAATATAAGGAACGGAAAGTCGCACAGTCTACTACTTACCGAAAAGTAAATCCGTGATATGTGGAAATTGTGGCACACTAGTTGCAAATAGTGCACGAAATATCTGTTGTTTCTCGCTGTCCGCTATGGCAACTCAGCACGGCCTGTCCGCGAATGTCGTTCCGAACCAGACATGATCAGCTCTGATGCGCGGTTTAATGTGGCACACTAGTTGCAAATAGTGCACGAAATATCTGTTGTTTCTCGCTGTCCGCTATGGCAACTCAGCACGGCCTGTTCGCGAATGTCGTTCCGAACCAGACATGATCAGCTCTGATGTGCGGTTTAATGTTCGCGCATGTCGCACAGCCTGTCCGCGATTCTCATTCCGAGCGAGACGTGATCAGCTCTAATGCGCGGTTTAATGTACGCCTATGTCACCTCGGACAACGTCAGACCAGAAGCCGCCACAATGGCGCTGGTACTTCCGACAGACGAAGTAGCTCCTGTAAATTGTTGACTTTTTTTCTGGCGATTATTTTGCCACCTCAGAGAGTATCCCCCGCGCCGCTACGCGCGGCGCAGAAGGGACTAAACTAGATTGCCAGGGCTCACGAGCAAATACATTGGAGGAAGCTGCAGGAGCTGCAGTAGCTGCTGCTCGTGAGTCCTAGCCATCTAGTTTAGCCCCTTCCGCGCCGCGCGTAGCCGCGCAGGGGATACTCTCGGAGGTGGCACTATAGTCGGCAAAAAGCGGCCCGCCACTTACATATAATTTGGGCCCTGCCGTATCGGGAGTATTCTCGCGTGTCGGTAATTTATTGTCGTCCACAGTTAATCCTTGTTTTGCCGCCATCTAATCGCCGTAAAAAAATCTGTTGCGTTCAGCGAAACTGTCGTGCGCAGCTAAAACTACTTTTGACACGGTTGAATCGCCGCAAAAGAAATGCGACTTTTACATATGTGTGAGGCTCTGTTTGGGTTAACTGTCTGCGTTGTGAGTCTCTGTTTGGGTTAACTTTCTGTGTAGTTAATTTAGAACCGTTATTCCAAGTAGAGCCATTTGGTCTGTTGAATGTAGTTCTCTGTATCTGAATCTTGCCAGCTACTTTTTGTTATTCTGTAATATAGCCTTTGAATAAATGTGTACATTTCTTGGAATACATGGAGAGACATTTGGGAATTAGTTCTGTTGTCACTGATAGATTTTCATCTTTCCAAATGATAGTGTTCCACTGTGCTGCTGGGAGACAGGAGAATCACTGCCCATGGTGATACCAGTTAGAGGCAGGGATGAAGTTCCTCCTGTCCACAGCACACAGCCTGGACAGTTTTGTAGAGTCCATGTGTCTCTCACCCATGCAGCATTGTCCCCTTCTCGGCCTGCTTTGTTAACTTCAGAGAACAGGCTTAGTAAACCATTTACACTTAGTTATGTGGTGTAAAGTGAACGTACTGATCATATGGAAAGTTATGATCAATGCTGTTTTATTGAAGACTACGATACAATAATTATGTTTACAGGTATCATCAGTTTTATCGTGTTGACTTTTGATGAATGTTATTATCCATTTTAGCAAAAGGAAGGCTATGATGGTTTTGATCATGCTGAATGTTAGATCAGTTTGATCATGTTGGTAATTGGGGATCCATTTGATCATAATGAAATTTAATTATTGTGGAAGTTATGATAATTGTAGTCATGTTGAAAATGATAATTTTGATCATATTAAAACTGACAACTAACAGGGTCATGAAAGATGAATTTATTGGTATAGGAAGTGTTTTTTTTTTCAATCAACATACTGGACATTACGATCTTGTGGAGAATGAGTGTGATTACTTAGGAAGTTAATGATCAACACATGGAATCAGGCATGGAATGTATTAATCTAAGGGTCAAGCTGTTATATTTATTTTTCTGTGTTCATTGAATTAATAACTATGGAAATCAGATGTGTGAGAAGGAAACACTAGAAGTGACCAGAAGAGATCAATCAGGAATTAGGTCTTAAAAGAAAAATTAGCCACAGAACCAATTCTAAATTACATTCAAAGACAGCATATCAAATAGTTTCTTCACTTAGAAAGAATTTGTTGTAACACCATGCCATACAATGCATATGCTGAAAGAGGAGAAGGACGTAGAGCATGCGGTAGACCAGGAATAAGATGGAAAGAAAACATTAGAGAAACTCTACAACAGTATGATGTGTTTGTGGTTGAGATGGCCAAAAGAGCAAGAAGCAGAACATTTAAAATCTGTAGGGAGGGGTGTTTGTTTCTGTGCCCCCCTTCCCCCCACCCCCACCACCACCACCTTTCCTGACACCCGAAGCTGTAAAAGAGAAAGGGAAAAAAAGAAGAAGAAGAAGACATGTTAACAGATATGTTTATATCTC